CAGCCCCCCCCCCCCGGGACAGGCGAGAGCAGGTGTCGGGGAGGCGATGGAGACCCTGGGACCCCCACCCTCAGCAGCTGCTTGGTGGGCACGTCAGATGACACATCACTTTGGAAAGGAGTTGGTGGTTTCTTTACAAGTTGAACACAAACGGGGGCGCCTGTGTGGCTCAGCCGTTGAGCCTCTGCCTTTGGCTCAGGTCCTGGGGTCCTGGGATAGAGCCCCGCGTCAGGCTCCTCCCTCTGCCTCTGCCGTCCCTGCTGGTGCTCTCTCACTCTCGCTCTCTCAAATAAATGAATAAAATCTTAAAACAAAAAATGATTTAAACATACACGCCGTGTATGACCCGGCCATTCCACCTCTGGCTGTTGGCTCAACAGAAATGAAAACGTGTCCACATGAAAGCCCACAACTGTTCAGAGCAGCTTTATCGGTACTAGCCCAACCCAGAAGCAACCCAAATGCCCATCGACACGGGAATATGGGTGAAGGCGCTGCGTCCTCTGGTGGGGTGCAGGGGGGGACACCAGGGGCAAAGAAGCCACGCTGCAGCCACGCGGCTCCCGCAAGTGTCCCGCTGGGCAGAAGGAGCCGGGGTCATTCTGTTTACCTAAAATTCTTGGAAGGACAGAAGGCAGATCGGTGGTCACCCAGGGAGCGGAAGGTGGGACACAGGGAGGATTTGGGGGTTACCGAATCGCCCTGCACCACGGTCTGCTAAACAATAATACACCGTCCTGGGTAAAAATAAAGAGAGCGAGAACAAAGAAAGAAGCAAGAATCGAGGGACAGAGCATTCCTCCCGTAAACAGGATGGGGACAGGGTGGCATCTGAGCATAGATCTGTAGGAAGTGGGGGCAGGAGGAGAGCACAGGTGCCAAGGCCATGAGGCAGGACCATGCCTGTGGTGTTCCCGACCACAGCTGGGAGCACAGCTGGGAGCCCCGTGGCTGCAGCTCACGGAGGGTGGGGGGGGTGGACAGAGGGATGACATCATTTCCTCTGAGTGAAATGAGGAGCCAGCACATCTGGACATATTTCAGAGACAGAGTAAAACCGACAGGATCTGCCCACAGCTTGAAGGCAGACAATGGAAGAGAGGAGCCAAGGAGGCCTCCACATTTTTGTGCTTTTTTTCTTTAAGTTTTATTTATTCACGAGACGCACAGAGAGAGGCAGAGACACAGGAGGAGGGAGAAGCAGACTCCATGCGGGGAGCCCGATGTGGGACTCAATCCCAGGACCCCGGGGTCACAACCTGAGCCGAAGGCAGACTTTTAACCGCTGAGCCCTCCATTTGTCCCCATTTTTGTGTTGTTTTTAAATCCTGCTGACAGAGGTACGTGTGATTACACGCGGTAAAATTCACCATTTTCAGCGCGACAAGCCCACGAGTTCTGGTGGCCGCACCTCCGCGGCCGCACACGGGCCACGAGCTCCCGCCACACTCTAGCCCCCCGTGTGGTTTCCACAGTGCTGTCTACACGGCCTGCTCCGGGCAGCGGCTCCGCCCCTGCTGCCCAGAGTCTGCCCATCAGTGCCTTACGGTTTGTTTTCCCGACGGGCATTTGGGTTTCTGGCGTTTGCCGATTCTGAATAAAGCTGCTATGGACACGTGCGTGCCGGTTTGTCTATGTTTTCTTTCCTCTTGGGTACATTTTAGGGGCGATGGCCGCGAGTTCAGCCTCCGATTTGAGCGGAGGCCGCGTGTCCACCAGCACCCCGAGGCCTCCATGCACTTGCTGTTGTCCCTACTCGGAGCTTTTCAAACTGCGCAGTTGGAAGGATGGACCCCTGCCTTTTGCTGGGATGGGAAATTCTGACAGTGATGCATGTTTCAGAGGGATCATTAGGATATATTTGGGGTCTTGTTACTGTCTTGTTAATAAGGCTCGATCTCTCTCAAATAAATAAAATCTTTAAAAAAATCGTAAAAAAAATGTGATGTGATTGACAAAATCTATTACCGTTTTCATAACAAAAAGTTTTCTGTAAAAAAGCTGAAACCAGTGTACCAGGAGTGGATTTAGCTGCAAGTAAAAGAAGATCCAACCAACAGCAGCTCAGAAGCCCACGGAAGCGTGGATGGAGGCAGCTGGCAGGGAAGGGGCGGTGGGCCCACCACGTCCTCACACCCACAGCTTCTGGAGTTCACTCATTTGGCCCAGCAACTTGTCACTTCATGGTGAGAAGGTGGCTGCTGATGTTTAAGCATCATGTCTACATCCAAGACTGGGAGGAGGGAGAGGAGGGGAAGAATGCCAGCTAAATATGTCCCTTTTCTCAGGAAAAAGCAGTCTTCCCAAGAAACCACCAACAGACAACTGCTTTCCTCTCCTTGGCCAACACTCGGCCCCACAGGCTCCTGGGACTTGGCTGGAGACTGGAAGGGAGTTTCACTTTTCCAGTCTCTAAGGTGGGGGAAGCCAGGCAGGGGCATGGACACCCGAGGGAGCGCAGGCGGCCACCACTCGCACAGCCACAGGCCACCGCAGGAGGGCTGGGCTGTGTGTGCATGGGGGCTCACGCCCAGGTTGCAGATGCAGGGCCCCGGGTGGGTGGGAGGTTCCTTGAGGGTTAAAGGTCCGAGGAGGGAGCAGGTGGAGGAGCTGGTGGGCCTTGCAGCCTGCAGCTGAGGCAGCTCCCGCCAGAATGACATTTGTCACTGTGGCCAGACGGCCCCCACCCCACTCCGACCTTGGGGAGATCAGGAGAGCTCCGCCAAGGGCCGGTCCAGGTGGGAGGGTGCAGCTGGGGGATGCACCTTGCCACGGGGGCCCCAGGACATCCCCGGGGGGGCACAGCCCTCGGGTCTCAGGGCTCTCTGGCCCTCGGAGGCAGGTGGTGTCGGTGGAGCAAAGCTGTGGGTCCCCCTGCCTGGAGTGGTCCAGATTTGGGGTGATTTCTGGGGCCCAGCTCCAACTGCCTGCTAAGGGGCTTCTCTGTCCCATGGCTAGGCTGCCTGCATTTGCACCTCCCGCACCCCCAGCCCCTGATTAGGGAGGGACATTGCACAGGCGCTGGGGCGGGGCAGGCGCTGCTTTCCCACTCCAGGGTCCAGGCTGCCTTCGGGCTCCTGGAGGAGGGTGCGCTGCGGGGGGGGGGGGGGGGGGTCCTGGAGGAGGGTGCGCTGCAGGGGGGGGGGTCCTGGAGAAGGGTGCGCTGTGTGTGGGGATGTGTGCTTCCTGGAGGAGATGCTCCCTGGAGGAGGGTGCGCGGGGCGGGGGGGGGGGGGTGGGTGCTGGGGGGGTGCTGGAGGCTGACTACAGGGCTGAGAGAACCCGCCCTGCCCTCCCCGAGTGTCCTGCCGCTTGTGGGGCGATTTCTGACCCCGCAGCAGACGGCCAACGTTTGTAGGATAGTGCTCCCTCAGGGGCCTCCGTGGGGATGACGTGGGAGGGGGATCCTCCGTTTACTGCAGGGGAGAAACAGAAGAGAGGAGGGGGAGGAGGAGGGGTGAAGGTTAGAAGCAGGGGCAGAACCCCGGCTGAGCCTGGAGGGCAGAGGGAGGAGGCGGGTCGGGTCGGGTCGGGCCGGGGCGGGGTCGGGGTCGGGGTCGGGGTCGGGGTCGGGGCCCGGGCCGGGGGCGGGGCCTGCCCTGGGTCGGGGCGGGGCCGGGGCTGGTGCCCCGCGAGCCCGAGGCCAGTTTGCTGTTTGTGTTTTGGTAAAACCGCCCCGGGCCTGCGGGCTGATGCGGCCGGAACACGAGGGCGTGCGAGCCTCGCGAGCGGACCTCCCGGACGTGGGGCACCGGGGGGCGCGGCGGCCCCGGGCCCGTCCCTCCTGCCTTCTCGGAAACTCACTTCACGGACAATTTCTCCTGGACATTTGCAAGCGGCGCTTGGCGTGACCGCCCGGCGGCTTCGCGGACTTTCCTTCAGAGCCAGGCTCTCCCGGGAGCCTCCCGCAGCTCCGCGGACTCCTGCGGAGACCACAGCCGCCCTCTGCGCCCCAGCCCGCCGCGTGCAGGGAGCCCGAGCGGGGCTGGGAGGGGGCCCAGACGTGGGGGGGCTGGGAGGGAGCCCAGATATGGGGGGCTAGGAGGGGCCCAGACGTGGGGGGGCTGGGATATATAGGGGGCTGTGTGGAGCAGGTCCGCAGGGAGGGCAGGGCAGTCCTGGGGAGGGGGCTGTTAGCCGGCAGGGCTCCCACCTGCTGTGGACGCAGGCCAGGTGACTCCATCCCCACGTGCGGCGTCGCCCGTCCTTGGCAGGACAGGACGACTCAGAGTCAGCAGGGAGCCTGAGTCACATCCCCGAGCAGAGGCCCCGGCTGCCCCAGGCCCAATCAGGACACCTGCTTGGGGGGGGGGGGGCGGAGGGAGGGAGCGCCGCGCTCTCGTGGGGGCGGGTTTCTCCTTGCTAGCCCGGTTCTGGGGCCTGGACCCGCCCTGCAGCCCGCCCCGCCCCCCCGCCCCCCCTCCCCGCCCCCGCCCCGGCAAGGCCGGGTCTCCCAGGCCGCTGCACCTGCCGCCTCCTCTAGGTGGCCTCCCGGTTGGGGGGGCGGCTAGGAAGGAAGTGCCAGGGCCAGGGCGGAATGCTGAACCGCAGGTGCACAGGACACCTCGCCGGCGGGGCCACCAGACAAACTCATACCCATTCGCCCCCGTTTTAACTTCAAGTGTGCCCCCGAGTCCCAGTGTCCCTAACCTGGAGAAACAGGAAGGGGGAATAAATAATTTATTGAAATTGGAGGAATAAATAAGATATGCGGGCGGGGGTACAAATAACAGTAAAAATCATTAGCACGTATACACACACACACACACACACACAGGCGCTCCCGCAGGCGGGATGGGGGCCGGGACCTCGCAGCAGAGGCGGCCGCGGCGGCACACGGGCGCCCCCCGGAGGCAGGGGGCGTACGTCCGGAAGGGCCGCCAGTCTCCCCAGGTCCCTAGGGCGCGGCGCCACCAGCGGACCCCCTGCCCTGCGAGTGCCCGCGGAGCTGCACCCCCTGTGCGACCCTCGTCACCCAGGAGCGGTGGGCCGCCAGGCTGATGTAGACGCCGGGCCGGTCGCGCTCCGCACAGCCCTCACCCCAGCTGATGATGCCGGCCAGCAGCCAGGTGCCCTCTACCTGGCACATGAGGGGGCCCCCGGAGTCACCCTGCGGGGAGGAGGGGAGGTCAGGGGCCCACGTGGGCCAGGGCTGGACAGTGCCCAGACGGACAGGGCAGGTGGCAGGCGGCTCCCTGGGGGGCAGGCGGGCGGGTGCATTTCTCTCCTGGAGGAAGAGGTGCTGGAACTCCAGCAGGCCCCTGGGGGCCTGGGCCGGACAGGCCTTGGGGGTACCCCCTGGCGAGGAGCTCTCCGTGGGGGACCTCCTCGCTCACAGCCCCTGGCCCAGCGCCCGTGGGCAGCAGATAGGAATTGTGAGCAGGACCTACAGCGTCCAAGCCCAGGAGCTAACCTTACACCCGCCTGCTGTCCGCCACCGCAGTGCTGGAGCTGGTGCTGGGGACCAGGACGAGGAGCCCCCTCAAGAGAAGGCCCAGAGAGGGGGTCTGGTACACCCAGGATGCTCAGTGGATGTTTGGTGTGTGGCCCAACGGATGGACGGCCGAGCCACGTGGAGGCATCTAGGGGGGCTTGCAGGTCCCAGTTGATTTGGGGGGGTGGGCAGCGGTGGAGCTCAGGGGGACGAATGTGGGAAGAAGGTGGGGTGCTCACCAGACAGGCATCTCGCTGCCCCTCCAGGTAGCCAGCGCACAGCATGTCCTCGGTGATGGCTTCCTGGCCGGCTCCTCGCCAGTACAGGCGGCTGCAGATTTCCGAGTCGATGATGGGGACCTCCAGCTTCTGCAGGGTCTGGGGATGGGCCAGGGGCACTGGGGGCAGGAGCAGAGGGTCGGACTTGGGATGCCCTCTCCTTATTGTCCTCACGGAACCATCCACTCCCCGCAGGGGCAGTTCCCAAAGGCGGAGGGACCTCTGTCCGGCTCTCCTAGACCGGTGGAAACCCCCCAAATTCCAAGATTCCACCTCCGGACCTACTGAATCCAGACAGGAGCGTGCGCCCCAAGACCCCGAACCTTTAATGAGATTTCTGAGGCCCAAAAAATGGTTCGAACCACTGGGCCCGGCTTGTCCTGCCTTAGGGACCACTTTGTCCCACACGGGCCTGGAACAGGGCTCAGTTGATCACCTGCGTTGGCGTGACCAGGGCTGAGGAGGCCCCGCACCCAGCAGGTGGCAGCCCCTGGGGCTGGTCGGTGCACCCTCCCCAGCCTGCAATTCCAGTTCTCGAAGGAGCCCCGCGGGATGACTATGGGGAGGCTGCCTGCACCCTCGGACTCAGTGAGCCCCCAGGTACCTGATGTCATTTCTCTTCATTCTTTTGGACAATCTGGTTCAAGTCCCATTTTTCTTATCCTTTTCCCTCTTAGCGCGGCCCCTTATCTACCTGCTCTGCTGCCCTGCCTCTTACTTTATCTGACATGTATCTATACACGGTGTTTTCCAAACCTCCAGACTTGGTCTGACAATTGTATTTTCCAGTTATGGAGACTCGGTTCCTTCTGGAAATTTCGCCTGCAATCACGGCACGCCGCCACCAGCAGGTGCCTGTTCCCACTTGGGAGTCCCAGGGCTGTCTTCCTATTCCGAGTCGGCCTGGCCCCACATGTGCTCCCTACATCACTGAACAGCGGGTTGGTCTGGCCGCGGCTCCCCAGACCGTCACCACGGACCCCTCTCGACTAGGAAGGGCCTACGGCTGTGCGGCGGGGCTCAGTGACCTCACGCCTCTGCTCTGCGGCTCATTTTCCTTTTGTCTCTATCATCAAAGACAGCCGTTTCCCTTGTGCCAGGCCTCTGGCTGCTACCCTTGGCTGCTCACCGTGTCCGTGTCCCGGGGAGTCGGCCACCCTCCGTCCCCAGCCACCCCCAGGCACCCGGGAGGGGAGAGGCTGTACCCCCATCGCGGACGCTCCCCCAGCCCGCAATCCAGCAGCGCGTGTTGGGAAGGAGGTGGACGGAGGAGTCGGGCAGGCAGATGGGCAGGATTCGCTCGGAGAAGCGAACGGAGTGCTCCAGGCGCACCAGGGCGATGTCGGCGCGGGAGCCCTCTCTCCAGGAGTACACAGGGTGGGACAGCACCCAGGCGATCCCCACCTCCTGGGACCTGGGGCCAGGGTTCCCCAGCTGCCAGGTCCCCAGCAGCACAGAGTACTCAGATGGTTTGTTCAGATTGCTGTCAGGAAGAGGAAGGGGGTCAGCCAGGACCTGGGCCGGGGGGGGGGGCGGGGGGGGGTCTGGGTCAGGCCGAGCATACCCCTTGAAGCAGTGGGCAGCCGTGACCACCCAGCGGCTGCTGAGCAGGGAGCCCGCACAGTGGTGGGTGCCGTTCTTCTGGATGCTCACGACCCAGGGCCACTGGGCGTCGGTGCTGTCCTCGCCACCTACGATCCGGTTCAGCTGCTGGGGCTTCCCGCAGGCTGGGGGTGCTGGCGGAGGAGGGACCCATTTCTGTCACCCGGGGCCCTCCGGCCCTGCCGGCGCCCCGTGTCCTCCCGGCCTCCGGCCTCTGCCCTCCCCCACTGCCTTCCCGCGCCCTCCGCCCCCTGCTGCCCTGCCCCGGGCCCTCGCCCAGTCCCTGCTCTGCCCTGCAGGCCTCGCCGCTGCCTGCTCGGAGCCCTTGTGACCTGCTCCCCCGACAGAGGACACAGGAGCCCCCTCCCACCGCGCAGGACCCCACTCACCGGCTATCTCCGCAGCACGGAGGGCGGCTGGGGGCGAGAGAAAGAAGGGTCAGGCGGTGGAGGGGAGCCCCCTGGGGCCCGGGGCAGGTCCCCAGGTCCAGGGTGGGGCATTTCCTGGAGCCCAGGCTGGGCGATGGAAACGTCAGGCTGGAAGCTGTGGCCTCCCCTCCCGCCAGCTTCCTGTCCAGCCTGTGCCCGCGCTCCGTGCCACCTGCCTGCTGGAGGAGGAACTGGCTCCTGGGTGCCTGGCATGGAGGGCAGGGGCGGGGAGCCCACCCCGACCCTCTGGGACACTCCCCCCAGACCTGAGGCCCTGGCCCGGGAGACCCTCTCAATCCCACGCCCAAGGCCTGGAAGCCTGCGGACTCAAGAGTTGGGAGGGACGAGGACAAGGTCAGGCCTCTACCCAGAGTCGTCCCCTGCTGGCAGCCACTGGACATGGCAGAGAGGAGCGAGCCAGCGCAGAAGGGAAGGGGACAGGGCCGGAGGGGACAGGGCCGGAGGGGACAGGGCTGAGGGCTGGGGGCAGGCAGGTGCGGGTGGCCAAGGGAAGGCCCTGGGTATGGACGGGGACAGGCCGCGGGTCGTCAGGACTCACCTGAAGAAGCCAGAAGCAGCAAGGGGGTGACGATCCTGAGACAGCCCCCACCTGGGGCTGGGGGGCCTCTGGAAACCACCATGGCCAGCGGGGGTGCAGGCACAGCTGGGAGAGCAGGCCTGCCCAAGAGGGAGTGTGCAGAGTTCCCTGGGTCCCCCAGGTTTTATCCTGGAGGTGGAATGCCGTTGGACCAGTCCCCCAAGTGAGTGAGTGGCTCAGTCCCTGCCACCCGGGGCTGTAGGTCACAGGAGGGGTGGGACTGCGGGAGGAAGTGAGCCGCTAAGGGGACTGAGGGCTCCAGCCAGGACCCCCACCTCTGCCCTGGAGCAGTGGACTCAGGGCTAAACTGGGGCCCAGGTTCCATCCTCTGGAGAAGCAGGACCGGGACTCAACTGGAAAGGTCCCAGTTTGGGGGGGGAGGGGAAGGCCCGGGCCTGGGTCTGCCCCAGCTGAAGGCCAGGGTCTGGGGTCTGTGTGCAGACCCAGGGCCTTGGGGGCACAGGGGCTGCCCAGAGGCTCAGTAACGGCTCCCTTGTCCGGGGGCCACCGTGACTCAGCCTGGACACCTGACCAAGCCCCGGGCTCTGGGATCCCGTTAACCCACTTCCCAGAAAGCTGTGAATCAGGCCCCCAGCGGCACCTGTCCTGTGGGTCCTGTCACTTGGTGAACAACTCACCCCTCACCTGCACTGCGGGGAAGCCCAGGCGGGGCCAGCCAGGTGCCCAGGTGGCCCCTGACATGGCTGCCTGGGAAGGGCTGGGGGCTGGGCCCCACCCCCTCCCAGCCCCCCCACCCCCTCCTACCCCTCCAATCTCCCCCCCCCCGCCCCTGCCCCTGCCCACCAGAGGGTCAGAGGGCAGTGGGGCTCTGCTGCAGCAGGGAGCTGGGGTGGGTGGTGTGGGCGCGCGGGATGAAACCTTGTGACCCGGGGTCCCCACGGGTTATTCCCTGACTCAGACCCCTGCTCTCATGACGCCCCCTACCCCCCTGCAGGAGAGCAGGCTAATTCTTCTCCGGACCCAACCCTACAGACCGGACTCTACCAATCCTACTGGGGGTATATGGTTTATCTCTGTGCTTTTGTTCATTTGAGCAACAAACCTCCTGCTGGGAAGGGGCCAGAAACCAACAGAGCAACTTGCAGTGTCCCTTGTGCCCACATCCGGACATCCCAGCCTCAGGCTCCCTCCTGTTCCCATTCTGCTGCTGAGGAAAGGGGGTCAGGGCTAAGGGGTGGAGCTGGAAAAGACCTGGGGGAGGGGTGGAGCTGGCGGGGGGGGGGGGGGGGCTGGGGGGAGGGGCAGAGCCTGGATTTGAACCCCAATCTGGAGGCAGGTGACTGGATGGGACTCAGTAGACCCTGAGGGATCTGGGTCCAGGGGTGGATGGTTTTCGCTCAAGGTCCCAGGTGTCGGGGGGCTGGGGGCCTCAGGGGCCCAAGGAGGCACCTGACTCTGGCCTAGAAAAGCAGGACCTGGACACAGAGGCCCAGAGGGCAAGTGGAGGGGGAGCTGCAGAGGCTGGAGCAAGGGGGGCAGGAGAGAGGGGGCATGGGGCTGGGGGCCTCCAGGCAGACCCTCAGGGCACCCCACTAGGCAGCTCCCCAGCGTGGTCAACATGCTCTGCACACAGCCTGTTTGGGGGCCTGGCTCCGGGCTGCAGGGTCTGCAGGCAGGCGGCAGGAGTCTACAGAGTCACCTTCCCGAGACTGGGGAGGCTGGGAGGCTGGGAGCCTGAGAGGCTGGGAGGGTGGGAGGCTGGGAGCCTGGAAGGCTGGGAGGCGGGGAGGCAGGGAGGTTGGCCTGGGAGGCTGGGATGCCGGTACAGGGAGGACTGCTGGTGCGTTTTACTGGCCCCCGCGTCAGTCGGAAGGGCAGGGGACAATGCGGGGTTAAGCCGCAGCCAGAACCAGGCCTTGGCATCAGGCCTTGAGGGTGAGCCCCCATCACACCCCAAGACAAGCCAATGTGAGGGTGCGGGAGCCCCGAACACCTCCCACTGGCGCCATTCCCCGGCCGGGGAGCACACCCTCCAGGCCTAGGCGAGGGCTGGCTTCCACGGGTGCTTCCCCCACCGCTTGGGATCCTGGGGCACCTCTGGGCTCCGCGGCTCACCTCAGGCGCCCCCAACCCACTCCCTTCCTGCAGCTAAGGTGGTTGGCCGCCCCAGCTCACTCGATAAGCTTTTGTTGGGCAACTGCTGTGTGGCAGGCCGGACGCCGGGCACCGGGCCAGGGGGAGGGTAGGACAGAGGTCCCATCCTGGGGTGGCACGCGTCTCCCAGGGGCTGGGAGGCGGGTGGGTGATGGTGGTGACGCGTCACGGGAGGAGGGTGCATGGGGAAGCCTGGGAGGAGGGCAGAGACCCTGGGGGCCGAGCTGCGGCCCCCCGCGGGGAGGGACAGTGTAGGAAGCCCGGAGGCTGGGCATGCAGGTGGGTGCCCAGTGCCCTGGGGTCAGCGGGCTCTGCTGAATGGGCAAGTCCACCAGGCAGAGCCTAGAGGCTGCGAGGAGCGGCCCCGACTGCCGTGACCCAGGGTCGCTGCCTGGATGCCCCGAGGGGTGGGCATGTGTGCAGAGACGTCGCTGTCCCCAAGATGGGGTGGCCCGGCAGGCGGCCGCAAGGGGCAGGACCTGGCAGGTGCCAAGAAGTCCTGAAAAGCCAGTGAAGACGGTGGCGCTGGTCCTCGGCTTCCAGAGCGGGGACCCCGCAGATTCCGCATCCGTCAACAGCAGATTGTGGGGTGACGGCAGCTGGCAGCCTGGGCGCCGCACAGACAGACGGATGGATGGCTGCCCACCTGGCCACCCCCGCGGCCGCGTGGCCCTGGAGCTGTCTCAGGACCTCCGTGACTGCAGCGAGGTGTGCGGGCTGCTGGGGCTGCTGGCCGAGCAGTGGCTCCCAGCGCCGCGCCACTCGGGGTGGGGACATGCGGGGCGGTCCGCTCCGTCCACCCAACTACGAAGCGCCACCATGCGCAGGTGACCAGGTGGCCTAGGGCGCGGCCGCAGAGCAAGCCACCTGGAGCAGCCGGCCGTGCAAAGGGGGGGCACCGGGCGGGGGAGCCTGAGGACACCGCGGCCGCGCGGAGTTGCAGCCCAAGAGGGCCCCAAGTCGCTGGAGTCGCCAAGCCACGGGGGCGGGCCGGAGGCAGGACCCAAGGGCGGGCGCGGGGCACGTCCTGGGGAGCCGAGGGCGCAGTGTGTGCACCAGTGGCGCTTAACATGGTAAATCATGTTTGTTTTACTGCAACAGAAACAACGGGGAGAAAAACCAGACGCGCCCCCTCGTGACTGTGAAGCTCCGACGCTCCGGGGCGGGTGGGCAGAGCGTCTTCCTCCAGGCCGGGCCTCAGTTTACCCAGCTATGAGGAGGGCTGGTCCCCGCCTGCGTGTCCTGGGCTGGAGCGGCCCACCGACTGAGCAACGCGGGGCCGCCCCATCCGTGGGCAACGTCCTGCGGGGGCGATGGTCCCGGCGGGTGGCCCCGGGGACACCGCCCGCGGCTCTCGCCTGCAGGGATGACCTCCCCTGGTGGAGCCACGCTCCTGGGAACTCACCTGTCACCCGGGGCCTCCTGCCGTTTGGAGACTAGAGTCCATGCAGCCCCAGCCCGTCCCAGGTCCCGCTCAGGGCCCCCACCCCCGACCGGCCGCAGAGCTCTGTGCTGCCCCCTTCCACGCAGCGCAGTGCTGGGGTGCCCGGGGCTACCCCAACCCCTTCCCCATCTTCCGGCTCTCCAGCCCCGCTCCGCCCCCCCCACGCCTAAATTTCTGGGGAACAAAGATTTCCTGACCTTATTGCCGGTCCTTGTGACACCCGCATGAGATGAGGGCTGAGCACCCCCAATGCTCGGCCTTCCTTTGTCTGGTTTTGGGGTTCCCGGTCCCGGTTGTCTAAGTGGCAACCCCAGCTGCCTCTTAGAATGTGGGACTTCCAGGGTCCAGGTATTAATTATGTGACTCTTGGGGGCACCTGGGGGGCTCAGCAGTTGAGCATCTGCCTTGGTTCAGGTCGTGATCCCGGGGTCCTGGGATCTAGTCTCACATTGGGCTCCCCGCAGGGAGCCTGCTTCTCTGTCTGCCTGTGTCTCTGCCTCTGTCTCGGTCTCTCATGAATAAATACATAAAATCGCTTGTCCACGACCAGGAGGGGGGAGCCCTAGGCCCGACAGGGCCGGGTCCAGAGGAGCCAGTGGGGAACAAGGGCAGAGGGCAACGGACAAGCTGGCCGTGCCGACTCGCTGGGGACCCAGCGCCGGCTTGGTGACATGCCGCTGACTCACAGAGCCAGGAGAGCGGGAAGGACCTCAGTCTTGAGGTCAGAAGTCAGCCAAGGGCTCATGGCAGGGAAGTGAACGTCGCATGGGAGCAGCCTGCCTGCGGGCAGGTGTACAACGAGGGCCCCGGTCCAGCGCCCGCGGGGAGCCCTCAGAGCTGGGAGCTGCAGGCCCCCGCCTTCCTTCAGGGCACCCTCCTGAGACGTGACCTAGCCCCCCAGTGACCTGCGTAGTCATGCCTGCGAGGGGGAGCGTGGAAAACCAGCCCCAACCTCCTCTGCAGGGTGGAGAGCCACCTCCAACCACGTTCCTCCTCCCCCTCACCCCTGCAGGGCACCGGGTCACTGCTGGTTGCTGCTCACGGATGGCTTCTGGGTGAAGTCAGCGGGGTTTCTCCAGCTGGGACAGACGGTTCTGGGGCACCCGTCCGTGCTGGAGTCGGGGGAGGCGCCCACTTCCACGATCACAGCCCATCTAGGTGCTGAGAACTTGGACGCCAGACGGGCATCTTCAACTAGGGGACCTTGACATCCCCTCGAACTCTGACACCTCCAACCCCCCATCTCAGAAAATGGCATTTCCATCTACCCAAGTGCTCCAGGCCTAAGGCGAGTCACCCCTGACTCATCGGGTCTCCTCACCCATACCCAACTGCAAAGGAAACACTTCTGTGTGTACACAATACTTTTGACACCACACGTATGGGATTTTGCTCACCGAGCAGTTCTCCAATTTTCTGTGGACGCCAACAGTACTTGGCACAGACCCCACAGGGTGAAGGCTCAGCCTCATAGGATCCCCCCCACCAACTTCAGGTGCCAATCCCAGAGAGTGGGTTCTCAGGTCACCCAGACTTCTGACTTGGCTACAAGTCCGGGGTTCCCAGGACCCCCTCCTCAGGTTCAATTATTTGTTAGAATAGAATGGCTCACGGAACTCAAGGCACGCTGATGTTTATCAATTTATTTTATAATAAAGGGTACAGGTGAAGAGCTGGATGAAGGGGCACACGGGCAAGGTCAGGGAGGACCCAAACGCAGGAGCTATCGTGTCGTGGAGTTGGGATGTGCCGTGTTCCCAGCACCAATCTGGAAGCTCCCTGAACCCCATACTTCAGGGATTTCCATGGAGGCCTCATCCTGTGGGCATGATGATGATGAATTCCAGCCCCTTCCCGTCCCCTGGAGGCTTGGTCTTGCTGGTGACCGGCCTCTGTCCTGGAGCTGTCCTAGAGTTGCCTCCTCAAACAAGACACCCCTGCCCCCCGGGAAATTCCAGAGGATTTAGAAGCTGAGTCAGGCAGGGGGTAGCAGGAGTCCTGACACCGAGCTTTGGATCACAGATCAGAGGAGTCCACGTCAAAGACGTCCTTCTGTAATAAACATAACCGCCAGCCGCTCGACAAGCTACTAGTTAACAACTGGACAAGGGGCCAGGCTGGTCCCTTGCCGAAAGCCGTGGCTGAGCTAGAGACTTGGACCCTCCAAGGACCCTACTCCCCCCTTCCCGTGCCCTAATTCCCGCTGCTTAAACTCACCAGTAAAGAGTGAGGCTAGGAGAGCCCAGCCTTCCCTGGACCCTAATAGAGGCAGAGCCCAGGTCGGCACTCCTCCCGCCTCCTTGCGACCTCACTGGGTGGCCCTTGGGCGTACCGTGTCCCCTACAGCACTTGTAATAAAATCAGGGTTGTTTTTGCAGTTTCCTGATGGCTGTTGCTGGGGTGCATCTTGTCATCAGTCACAGGAACCACAAGGGCCTGAGCAGCCACGGATCTGTGGGGCCTGCCACTGGGGCGCAGGCAAGTGCCCCGGGCACCCCCCGCCCCCCGCAGTACTGGCAACAGGATCCTTCAGCAGGGAGCGGGGCTCCAGCCACGAGCGGGGCCTCCAAGTCCTTCTCCTGGGCTCTCAGCTCATCAGCTGTGCCGGGGGACCAGCCAACGGCAACCAGGGGGGTTCGACCAAGTTCCATCAGGACGCTTCCTCCTGTGACACTGTACGGGGGGGGGGGGGTAGTGTGTTTGGAAGGGACTCGACTCCTCTCAGGCCCCACATTCCCTGCCGCCCATTCCTGGCTCGGCTGCTCCAGGGTCCAAGCACAGGAGGATGCGTGCCCCCCCAACCCCCCACCCCTGTTCTTGAAGCCCTCTGCCCTCCGGGAAGCCCTCTGCCCTCCGGGACCTCCGCACGTGCTCCTCCACCTGGAAGGCCCTAACCCCATCTTCATAGGCAGCACCTTCTACAGCTTCCCGTCCGTGACTCTTCTACTCAGCACCGTGGGCACAAGTACAGATGTGCTCTGGGCAAACACAGTAACAAGAGGTCCCTGGTGGCAGCGCTGGTGTCCCCAGAGATGATCGGATCCCATGGGGTGTGTGCCTGTCTGATTAGGCTATTTACAGCTCTGTAGGGACAAAACTTAATTGGCAGAAAAATGACAGTAATGCAAATAATTTTTTTTTAAGATTTTTATTTATTTATTTATGTGAGAGAGAGAGAGGCAGAGACACAGGCTGAGGGAGAAGCAGGCTTCATGCCGGGAGCCTGATGTGGGACTCTATCCCAGGACCCTGGGGTCACGCCCTGGGCTGAAGGCAGACGCTCAACCACTGAGCCACCCAGATGTCCCCCAGTGCAAATATTTCTTGTCTCTAGAAAAATAAGTTACGTCCCACCAATGCAACCAGTTGTTCCCGGTGTCTTGACAGCTCTGCTGGTTTCCATCAGTTGACAAATTCATCCAGCAATCCTTGCCTGAGTATAAATGTGTGGTGCTTTGCACTCTCTTTTGAACAGGTTGTATGGGGGCACCTGAGTGGCTCAGCGGTTGACCGTCTGCCTTCGGTTCAGAGCGTGATCCCGGGATCTAGTTCCGCCTCCGGCTCCTTGCGGGGCGCCTGCTTCTCCCTCTGCCTGTGTCTCTCATGAATAAATAAATAAAATCTTAAAAAAAAAAAAAAAAGAACAGGTTATATGTAAAATCTTACTGGGTCCCTCCTTAACTGATAAATAAAATCTGAGATGACCTCAGAAAAGTCATTTTACCTTTTGGTGAAAAAACTGTCAGCTTATACATTTATTAAAGTTACTGTATGTTGGGCAGCACTGGTGGCGCAGCAGTTTAGCACCGCCTTCAACCCAGGGCGTGATCCTGGAGACCCGGGATCGAGTCCCATGTCGGGCTCCCTGCGTGGGGCCTGCTTTTCCCTCTGCCTGCCTCTCTCTCTCTCTCTCTCTCTCTCAATAAATAAATAAATAAATCTCAAAAAATTTATTGTATGTTTATTAACTAGATTGAAGGATAGTTCCACCAGCCAGGAACTTCTCTCGTTTGTTGGGAAAAACCGCAAAAGACTTTGAGACATGCAACGGTGATGGCCATGCTTCCGGCGGAGCGGAGCTCAGAGAGCAGGTCCTCCGGAGGCATTGATTCTAGGAGGGTCTCTGTATGATGGCTTTCAACTAGGCTGTTTTACCCCGCCTGCCCCCTCCATCCTGTGAAAAAGAGGATTCTGAACATTACAGTTTTCTTGCTCTGTAGCATACTGACCAGTTTTGCATCCAATTAGCACACTCCTGACTTCCTATAGATGTCTTTTCTTCGGATTCCCCTTTATTTTTTCTTTTTTTAAGATTTTATTTATTTATTCATGAGAGACAGAGAGAGAGAGAGAGAGAGAGGCAGAGACACAGGCAGAGGGAGAAGCAGGTTCCATGCAGGGAGCCCAACGTGGGACTAGATCCCGGGTCCCCAGGATCAGGCTCCGGGCTGAAGGCGGCGCTAAACCGCTGAGCCACCCGGGATGCCCTTCAGATTCCCCTTTAAACCACTTCTGACAACCTCTTGGTTTCCTCATTCATTAATGAGTTAAAATTTTTGACACATCCCCATTTTATATTTATTTGGAAGTCATGCCTTTACCTTTTTGAAAATTACGTTTTTAAAAAATTAAAAAAAAAGAATAATTAAAAAAATAATCTCTCTACCCAGTGTGGGGCTTGAACCCACAGCCCTGAGATCAATAGTCGGATGCTCTATGGACTGAGCCAGCCAAGGACCCCTTGAAAATTACATTTTTAAGATCTTACTAGTATACCCCTCAGTGCCTGGCACGTAATGGCAATTTTATGGAATCAACTGATTAAAGAAACAGTTTACAAATTTATATTTAATAAAGCTACAAATTCTATTTTTTCCCTTTTATATTATTTCAATCTGCTTTTGTTATTTTTAAGATTTTATTTATTTATTACAGAGAGAGAGAGAGAGAGAGAGAGAGAAGCAGAGGGAGAAGCAGGCCCCACACAGGGAGCCCAATGTGGGACTCAATCTCTGGGCCGAAGGCAGACGCTAAACCACTGAGCTACCCAGGCTGCCCTCAATCTGCTTTTAAAATGTAACATATTGGGCAGTTTCCTGATGGCTCAACCACTGAGCCACCTAGGTGCCCCTAAAAAAAATCTCTGATTAGTTCCTCAAGTTATATCCCTAGTAGGGAAATCACTAGGCTATAAACTTACTTGATATGTATTGTCAAACTAGTGATTTCTATTTTTTCCCTTTCTTTACCATGGAAAAATAGAGAATACAAATATTTTTCCTCGTGTCCTGGCAGTTTGAAGGTTGTCTTCCTTGCCCTTAAGGAATGAAGCACTAGCTCCCCAGTTCCTAATGATGCGGTGTCAGGGCTGAATTTGCCAGCAAGGTGTTGTGAAAGAGGGGAGCACTGGTGTGGAGAGCGAGCAGACAGGAAATGTGTCAGCTAGGAACAGGGAAGGGGAAAGATTTCTCCAAGTCTAAGATGGGCAGACCTGCACACCTAGCAAAGTTCCATACGGGTGCCACTCAAATGTCCAGGGGCCCCTTGAAGCCGAGGCTTCACTGGGAGACCCCAGCTTTCACCAGGAGACCCTGTCGTTCACATGCCAGGGCCTGGACTGAAGCCCCATGCTACCTAAGCAGGCAGATTTTCAGCCGGGATGCTCTGACAGGGCCCAAACTGGATGTCCACTATGGATTGGTAAATAGCCACATCCCTAAGGCCCCCAATTGCCCCAAATGCCCAGGTGCTCCAGCCCTCCCTGAGACCGTCCCAAACTCAAACAATGGAAAAATTCATGCCTGGAGGTGTCTAGGTGGCTCAGCCAGTTGTACAGCCAACTCCTGATTTTGGCTCAGGTCCTGGGATGAACCCCATGTCAGGCTCCCTGGCGTGAGGACTCTCTTTCCCTCTGTCCTCTCTCTCAAAGAAATCTTAAAAAAAAAAAAAAAAAAAAAAAAAGTTACTGCCTGTTGAGGCAGGCGCCTCTAAGCCTCCTGAGCCTGTTCTGGTTGTTTAAATCTGTTTAAAACCGGTTGAGTTTCTTTCATGTTGCTGCTGCACCTGTCCTGGGGGGCAGGGGTGGGGAGCAGTGTGGCAAAGGGAGGAAGGGAGACTGAGCTGAAGGGGTTAATATCCTGTCCACTTCTCCAGCGGGCTCCCAACCTGGTTAACCCTCCAAGTCCTCCCTAACTTGCTAACTCTGGGCCCTCCATCTGTTCTAGATGCTAATACGCAGAGCAGCCACGGCCGGTGACGCCTGTCGCAGCTCCAGGACCGTGCAGACTTTGGTTCCAACAATGGCTGGCTGCCATACTCAACACGTGGCCTCGCTTCCTCCTTATTCTGCTCAAAGCATCATCCTCCCCACTGTACAGATGAGGAAATGAGCTCAGACGGGGGCAGCGGGGAAGCACGAGGCCAGGAGTCAGATGCCCCAGGGCCATTGCAAGATCTCGATAAGCCTGGAGCATTCTCACTTCCGAAGCATTGACCACAGGGCATGGATCACAGGCACACACCTCTCTCCAGAGTAAATGCAATGGGCCCCTAAATATGCTGTGGGTTGCAGCTGGCTGGGGAGCAGTAATACTTCTGAGGTATTAATAAGCATCTATTCGTTTCAATTTGGCAGCTCCTTCTTCCTATGTGAGAATAAGAAGTGTTTTTCAGGACTCAGTCCTTTTTATGAGCTCCGCGGTGCTGTAATTCTGGAAGGCTAACCCGAGCTGAAAAGGTGGCCTTCTCGGGGCAAGCCCACTACTCCCCCTCCCCCCCACCCCGAAATATGACCCCCATCCTACACAGAAGCAAACCCTTTACAGGATTCCTTTGAGGACAATTAACCAAGGACGGTGACTGGTGACTCACACGGGTGAAGCAAGTAACGTGACTGTATTTTGGGGCTTGATCATGCCAGGAACACCTGCCCAGGGAAACAAAAGCTGCAAACAACCGGACTCTCTTGACTTCACAAAAATCCATTTAAAAATCGCACAAGTCAAAAAAAAAAAAAAATTGCACAAGTCTCGGGGCGCCCGGGTGGCTCAGTGGATTAAGCATCTGCTTTTGGCTGGGGTCATGATCTCTGGGTCCTGGGATCGAGCCCCATGTCGGGCTCCCTGCTCAACGGGGGACCTGCTTCTGCCACCCCCCCCCCCGCTCGTGTTCCCTCTCAAATAAATAATCTTTAAAAAAAAAACCAAAAAACCCCAACTGCACAACTTTCAACAGGTAGCATTAAGCTCCAACTGCAGCTCCAAGGCCAAGACCGTCACCTTACCGGGACCGCAGATCCCGAAACACGTCCCTAACAATCCTCAGCTGTGTAGCCGAGCCTCCCCAATCCTAATAAAGCCCGCATCCGGAAGCCCTCTCACACGGGCCCCGAACCCCCACCCTCCGCCCGCACCCCACCTCCTCCCGCCTCAACTCTTCCAAGACCGGGCTCTCCCGGGGCGAGACAAGCGGCAGGCGGACGCGGCCGGCGGCGGGGAGCACCACCCGCCAGCAAGGAAGAAAAGCGGCAGAAAGCGCGGCCCAGCGGCGGCCATACCCAGCGCGGTCGGCCACGGGGCGAGAAGGCGGCCCCTCCGCCCGCCCGGCCCTCCGCACTGACGCAGCGGGACTCGGGACGCTGCCGGCGGAAGTGCACCCACCGCGCGGGGCGTGCCGGGAAGGCGCCGGCCGACTTCCGGCCGCAGAAGCTGCCGGGCGGGGGTGTGCGCGCGGCGCCGCCACGCGTGGGGCGGCGGGCGGAGGAGGGCGCGGTCCCCGGGACACGCAGCGTCCGCCGAGCTGGCCGCCCCCTGTTCAGGGTCTTTAAAAGCCGTAACTGAAAACACTTCCGTCCTCTCGGGATTGAGCACTTTAAAAACAGCGAACAAAACCGCTCTTCCTAAGCCTTGCGCTGCCTTCACTGCGACCTGTTGTTGACGTTTCCGTGCGTGTCGCGTCCGCACCGCGGGCCTGGGGACCTGACTTCCGACCCCACAGTCAGTGGCCGTGGTGGCAGCTGGACCGCAGCGAGGACGGGAAGGTTCCCACCGCTCACGCCACCAGGTTAGGCCGTGAGCGGGGCCGCGAGCACCCTGCTTGTTGTAAACTCTCAGGCCATTGGAGGAAGCCAGGAGGTCTAAGTATGGGGGCTTCTCATTGGCTGGGCTGTGGCAGTCTCCCATTGGCTGTGCCGTTGCCAGGGCAGGAGGAAAGCTTCCTCCCGCTGCGGTAGTAAAGGAGCGTCCACCTGCCAGGTGTGACTCTCCCTGCTGGGGCGGCTCTTCCGGAGAAACGGGGCTGAGAGCGCCTCCTGCTGGCGTCCTGACTGCATTCTAAAGGTGGTTTCCTTTTTATCAACTTTTTTTTTTTAAGATTTTGTTTGTTTATTTATTTATTTATTTATATTTATTTTTTATTATTTTTAATTTTTTAAAAATTTATTTATGATAGTCACACACACAGAGAGAGAGGCAGAGACATAGGCAGAGGGAGAAGCAGGCTCCATGCACCGGAGCCCGATGTGGGATTCGATCCCGGGTCTCCAGGATCGCGCCCTGGGCCAAAGGCAGGCGCTAAACCGCTGCGCCACCCAGGGATCCCCTTAAGATTTTATTTATTTGTTTGAGAGAGTGAGCATGAGTGGGAGAGGAGGCAGAAGGAGAAGCAGACCCCTCGCTGAGCAGGAAGCCCGATGCGGGGTTCGATCCCAGGATCCCAGAGATCATGACCTGAGCCGAAGACCGACACTTAACTGACTGAGCCATCCAGGGGCCCTTATCAATTTTCATTATAAAAATTGGTGGATTCTGGCAATCACCACACCCCCACCCCACTCCCCAGAGCTGCTGCTTAAGCAGTCCCCAGCACATCACTTGGGTTAGACAGTGACCAGGGTGGACATTCAAGAAAATAAGGCTCCGGGCTTCTTTGGGACCAGCATAGGAACGGAATCAGCCTCATCTTTATTAAGGCCCAATGCAGGTCCTGACCATGGTGCTCAGTGTATGTTTGAAGAAGGGAGGGAGGAAATTATGTGCTACCCTGGGCTGTCAGTTTACTTAAGGTCAGCTTGCCTAACCCTGACCCTGACTGTGACTCTCACCTGACCTTTCTCTAACTGTCCTAACAGCCTTCACTGCACATGGGCAAGGCCTTGAATGCCAACACTCGAAGGAGTTTCCCTGGTGAATGTCAGCCAGGAAAGGATTTTGAATTGGGGTGATATAATGCAAACTTTGCTTTTGGATGAGAATCAGGCCCATACGGAGGACATGCTGAGGAGAGGAAATGAACAGACACCAGGAGACCTGCCTGTGCATTCAGGACTTTATTCAGTACTCACTGTGGTGGACCTGAGGAGGTATAGGGCTGCAGAGATGAGGGTGAGCCACAATGCATGACCCCAGGGAGTTCACTAATGGGGCAAGAAATAATAAACAGACAATTACTATGAGTGTGATAAGTGCATTGAAAAACGCAGATCAAAGTGCCAAGGGGTGACTCATTCTTTCTGGAGGAGGTAAGGAAGCTGTCACCCAGCCCGGACAAGTGGGGCTTGTAGGCAGAGGGAAGTTGTCAAAAGAAGGAAGAGGGTGGAGCTCCTGGGCTGACAAACTCGCCCTGGCAGAGGCCAGTGTTTGTAGAGGGCCTAGGAGACTGGGCTAGAACAGAGAGGCTGGGCCTGGTGGGGCTGGGGGTGGGCGTGGGTGTGGACGATGGCTGCTGAGGCTGAGTAGGAACGTGGGCTATGGGGTCAAGCAGCCAGTCCCGACAGAGAGGGGTCAGGATGTGTTCCCCATTATTCTCCAGACATGAACTCCGCGTCTGCAGTGACACTCAACTTTTCAGATGTATCTCCCACCTTCCTTCTGTGCTCCTACCAGAAAGGAAGACTGCACACAGTATGGCTGAAGGCTCCTGACTCCTTATCTGGGACCCGCCCCCCCCCTTATGCCCCAAACTCTCGTCAAACACACAGATACTCTCTCTCATTTACACACTTTTTAAAAAAATTTTACCCAAATTTGTTGTCTAGTTGAATGTATGACTCAATATCATTCCATAGGACAAATTCAAAAAATAAAACTGTCTTTGAATAGCATTTACATTTAAATATTATTTTTTTAAATATTTTATTTATTTATTCATGAGACACACACACACACACACACACACACACACAGGCAGAGGGAGAGGCAGGCTCCTTGGAGGGAGCCTGATGCGGGACTCAGTCCTGGGACTCCAGGATCACGCCCTGGGCTGAAGGCAGGCACTAAAACGCTGAGCCACCCAGGATCCCCTACATTTAAATATTTTCATATTTATGGCATTGGCATTTGGTTTGTGCATTCCAGGGTTCTAAACACTTCTATATTTTTTCCAATGTATTTATAGTTTAGGGTTTTAAAACCATTTTTGCGAATGATGGAAAGTACAGAGATATTGTATATTTGCTGATTTTTTTTCAATGGTGTTTACGGGATAATCATTTCATTCCCCACTGATTTGAAGTGGCATTGACATAAGATACATTTGTGTGTATTTGTTAGGATATACACACTATATACAGAAAGATCACAGATACAGAAAGACTGTATGACCTCACTTATATGTGAAATCTGAAAAGGTCACAGGAGCATAGTGGTAGTTGCTGGGGCTATGGGGTGGGGGAAATGGGGAGACATTGGTCAAAGAGTACAAGCTTCTGGTTATAAGATGAATAAGTTCTAGGGATCTAATATAGAGCTCCTTCACTGTAGTTAATAATAGTGCATTGTGTACTTGAAGTTTGCTAAGAGATTACACCTCAAGTGTTCTCACAACACACAAAGTTACTACAGGTGGTGATGGATGTGTTAATTAGCTTAATTGTGGTAATCATGTCACAATGTATACATATACGAAGCCACGTTTTACATTGTAAATATATGCAATTTTTATTTGCTAATTATACTTCAATGAAGCTGGATGAATAAATAAGTAGATAAATAAATATTTATAAGAGAGAAAAAGAGAAAGGATAAACAGATGATACGGTCTAGCAAAGGTGAATCTATTTTACACATTTTTCGAGGTAAATTCATTAGCAGATCAGCAGGTCTGGTCGTTCTGTCCCTGAGTAGGTTTTGTAGAGATAACAAAGAAAACAATGCCCTTGTTTATGGATTCTGAGAAAATCCTGACAATCACGTGGTGGACACAGATGACAGGTCACAGGATGTCTGGCCTCGTCCTGACAGCAACTTTTCTGCTCACCCAGTTGTGCGCCATTTCCCTTATTAGACTTTCTCAACACCACCCCGCCTCCCGAAGAAAATCCCACAAGCTCTTAAAAGACCACATTTGACCATTGAGGCTTTGGTCTTTTGTTGACATGCTGTGATTCGTTGGATGCCTGCTCAGAATAACGGTTCTATGGCGGCATCTGAGCACCACGTATCAGAGTGCAGAAGGGCAGAATGGCCTGAGAACAATCCCAAGCATTGTGAGAGACAAACGGAGCGTATTTTGTATTCGGTGTTTCAGTCAACCAAGATCTAACAAGGTCAACAAATGCCAAAGGTCAGACTGGCCAATGTCCTCAAGTGGCTTTTAAAAACTAACGGTTGGGGTGCCCAGGTGGCTCAGTCTGGTAAGCATCTGCCTTCAGCTCAGGTCATGATCCAGGGGTCCTGGGATCGAGCCCCATGTCTGGCTCCGGGCTCAACGGGGGAGTCTGCTTCTCCTTCTGCCCCTCTCCCATGCTCTCTCAAAAATAAATAAATATACTTTAAAAGAAAAATAAACTAATTGTTGGTTTTAACTCTTATTTGGGTGAGAGATAAATTACAGGTACAGTTTTTTTTTTTGGTGCACAGTTTAAAAAAAAAGATTTTATGTATTTATTTTAGAGAAAAAGAGCGCACAAGCAGGGGGGCAGGTAGAGGGAGACAGAGAAGCAGTCTTCCCCGCTGAGCAGGGAGCCCAACACGCGGCTCCATCCCAGGACTCACGGATCATGACCTGAGCTGAAGGCAGATGCACAAACGCCCAACTGATGCGGCCACCCAGGTGCCCCGATTCCTCACTTTCTACAGGTAAGAAAGGTTAGCAGAGGAAGCTATTCCACTATGGACAGGGACCATTCCTATGGAGGACGGATGATTTGGAAACTGGAGCCCACGGCCTGGAGGGTGGCATGGAGGGTCACGGAGCACCACTGCCAGGGACTCCGGACAAGCCACACTCCCTGCTCCCTGGCGGAGAAAGGAGCAGCACATGCCCGCTGGATTTCAGAAGTCGACCAGCGACTGCTATGTGTGCTGGTGGATGACGGTTGTGCTGCCCCTGGCTCGCCAGGGGTGTTGGGTGGGCCAGGTGAACTCGGGTTCGCAGGTCCTCAGAGTGGGAGCAGCCACATCCCTGAAGGCTCCACCGCACCTGAATTTGGTTTAGTTGACAAGATCCTGGAGCTCGAGGTGGGCTGATGGCAGCATGGGATGAGGCTTTGGGGGCCCTGGGTGGGCCTCGCAGCCTACTTCCTGGGTTTGCTTCCTCTCTTAACTTGACCCCCGCCCCCTGAAGTTAATGACTGCTTTTGTCGGGGGTGTTCATTTTTGTTTGCACCTACCCTCGCTTTCCAAAGCCCCGCAAGGTCAATCCCATTAGGGACTAAGTTCCCATTTCTCCTTGTTGGCTGCATCCCTCCTTGGGACGCTCGTCTTTCTCCTGTCTGGGACATCCCTTCACTGTCATCCTTGGAATTCCGTTTGCCTTTCTCCCGGCTTGTACGCCCTGCCCGGGTCCCATGTCTTCCTCTGCCTCCGTTTCCAATTTGTTTTGGTGGAGCACATCCTCCGGTAGGCTCATCAGCGTGAAAAGACTGCAGTGACAGAGGGCACGATGGTAACGATGTCGGCCTGCCTGTTGCTTGTGTCTCGGTGTCCCCATGAGGCCTGCCTGCCCTCTGCGTGGGGTACAGTGGTCACCCCGGCACACCCCTTCCCCGGCATCCTAGAGGTTCCCCTCACCACTCTTCTGCGATTCGGCTCTGTGTTCCTCGGCCCACATTTCCCCACTGCTTGGTGCACTCCTCCCGCAGGGCACATCCTTCGTCCGGGCTTCCCAAGAACAGTGTGTGGGGGCTACCGAGATGTGCCTGAAAATGTCTTTTTTTTTTTTTCCCCGAAAATGTCTTTATTTTAATGTCTCCCGCTTACTGAGAGTGTGCTTCTTACTCATCAACATCTTTCCCTCTTCCTCCTTTCTGTTAACAAACTCTATCCTGTGGCCACGTGGAGGCCAGCTGACCTGCCTGGACCCATCCCAGGGCCAGGACACACGGGCCACTTTATGTCCTCTCCTGGGACGGTTTATCTGAATGGGGCAGAAAAGGAGCTCTGGCCCTCCCACCAGGTTCCTTAGGGGAGAGATTCTAGCTGGCGGCCACAGTCCTGGAGCGGGCGACTCATCCTGGGGACTTGGGAAGGTGGCGGCACTGCTGGGAGAGGCAGAGCGTCCTGGGCATGAGCAGGACCACCGTCAGCACCACCTTGGGTCCTGCCTCTCTTCCTTCAACTGGAGCATCACAGAAAGCTCCCATGGACTGGGTCCCATCAGCTCACCAAAGGTCCTCTGAACATCCCTCCTGTTCCATGAATCGAGGCCGGTTTCCCATCCGCCTGCTTTTGAAGGAAATCCACCTAATGACAGACACGCGCCCAGCTTGTCGCTGCTGAACATTCTGCTGCCTTTTCTTTTGGGAGTTGGAGGATGTGGCTGCTGCTGTTGTTACAAAAGTTAAAACGTTTTCATCATTATCGTACTACTGAATTCTCCTTGCCAGACCAGTTTTTATTTTGTTTGGTTTCTTGTGTTTGCAACTATACATGTAACGTGGCCCATTAACACTTTAATGCTTCTCCTGTATTTCGGATTTTCCTCTTGGAACATCCTGGCCACAGTGAAGTCACGGAGTCGGGGAAGAGCCGAAGAAGCCGAGCCCCGCTGAGCCCCGCCGCCCGCCGCCGGCAGCCCGCCCGCCACCGGGAGGAGGAGCTGCGCCCGCCAGACCGCATTCCTGCTCCACCTGCTGACCCCGAGCGAGCTCTGGCCCCTCCCGCCGCGGCTTATATTTGCATCTACTTCTCAGCAAAGCCTATTAGTCAGATTGGTTCTCATTTGGAAACACTTTCCACACTTTAGACGTTTTTCCCTTTATTTTTTTAAAAGATTTTGTTTATTCATGAAAGAGAGAGAGAGAGGCAGAGACACAGGCGGAGGGAGAAGCAGGCTCCACGCAGGGAGCCCGACATGGGACTCGATCCCGGGTCCCCAGGATCACACCCTGGGCCAAAGGCAGGCGCTGAACCGCTGAGCCACCCAGGGATCCCGTTTTTCCCTTTAAAGTGTGCCTCGTGGCCGCCTCCACGCCGGGGGCTGCGGCTGGAAGTGTGGGCACCGCGTGTACTCAGGAAGCCGAGCGCCGGGGGGGTGGGGGGATGAGCAGGGGGGCGACGGCCCGCACCCTCCGCGGGGAGGGGGGGGTCCCGGGGAGAGACCATGCGCCCCGCAGCCCGCGGCCACCAGGGGGCAGGCCCGCGCCGACCAGCGGCGCCCCGCGGACGGGCCGGGGCCTGGGGGGTGGGGGCGGGGCCGCAGCACACCCAGCGCTCCCCGCACCCGCTCCCGGTCCGCGCACCGCCCCCCGCACCGCAGGCGGGGAAACTGAGGCAGACGCGGCCTGCCGCCCGGCGCCCACCGCACCCCGCCCCGAGCCCGGCTCTGACGTCAGCCCCGTGCCCCAAATAACTTCCTCCGGAGCCGCTTCCGCCGCGGCCGCACGTCCAGGAGCCCGGCCGGCCGCGCCCAAGGCAGGGGCGCCCCGGACGCTCCTCCCGGCCCGGCCTTCCCAGAACCCGCTTCCGCCCCGCCCGCCGGCCCGGCCCGCGGATGCCGGGAAGCCCCCCGCCCGCCGCGCGGGAGGAGGGTGTAGCCCCGGGAGGGGGCGCTGGACCTTTCCTGCCCTTAGCAGCTAAGCCGCGGGGCGCACCGAGCTGTCCACCGATGCCCGCGTAGGAGTGGATGCTCAATAAATCAATGAATGAACCAGTGAACGAATGAATGAAACGGAGGGTCCGGCGGGCAGGCTGCAGTCGGCTTAGGCGGGGCCTGGGGCCAGCGGGGTGGGGGGATGTCTGGTCAGGACTCGGGGAATCCCAGGCCACATGCACCCAAATGGGGCAGGCACAGCCGGCCCCACGACCTGTCAGTATTTTGGGGTGAGGGATCTGGTGCCTCGGGGTTCAGGGACAGGTCACGGAGAAGTTTGGGTTCTGGGGCACCTCCTTCCGGCTGAGAGGACCTGGGCAGGCCGGGCCGACAGGTCGGGTGGCATAGCCCAGCCGACACTCACCTCCAGCATAAAACCCCACTTCATGGAGCCGTGTGCCTGGAGCTGGTGCTCACGGGCCTCCCGCTCACTGCCCCCTGCCCGGTGCCCCAGCCAGGCTGAGACCATGCGGCGCCTGCCAGCCCTGGCCCTGCTCCTGCTGCTGCTGGGGTTTGGTGAGTACTGGACAATGCAGAAAGCCGGTCCCCCTCCGCGCAGAGGGGTGCCCTCTGACCTGCCCGGACCTCCAGCCAAATTCCCCACTCCCTGGACAGGCCTTTAGCTGCCGCACAGGCTCCCTTTCCTGCCCCACGGCCCTGCGGAGCAGGTGGGAAGGCTCTGAGGTTCACTCCTGGGGCTGTGACCCGCAGAAGGCAGGACGGGGCTGGGGGCGCAGGATCCAGGACTCAGGCAGAAGCATGGGGGGCTCTCCTTCCCCTGACTCCTACCTCATCTTTGGCGCTCAGGGGCCAAGCTCTGGGCTTGGGGCTTCTGCTTCCTCCTACCTCAGTCTCTTCCTGTCCCCAGATACAGACACGGGCTGCAATGTACAGGATCTGAACTTGGGGCCCCTGGGCTCCGAAGCCTTGGGTCACCCTCTGTTGGGCCAGGGGAGGCTCACCTGGGAGTGGGGAGCTGCGGGTGCAGCAGGTTCCTGCTCCCACCAGACAGGGAGGGTGTGTGGGGAGGAGCAAGCCTGTGTCCCCTTCCCTTCTCCCGGTCCTGGCTCAGGGTGGGCAGGTGGCAGCCGGGGAACCCCACCTGCCAGGCCCCTTCCCACAGGCTGTGCTGCTCCCTGCCAGGGAAACCCTCCCGCATTCCTGGGCTAGCCTGGCCGGCCTGGTGCCACCTCACTTCCCTGTCCTCAAGTCACCTCCCAGGGCTGGGCCAGGTCACCCCAGGCTTGGACTCTGCTGGGGCTCCAGACCTCCTACCAGGGGTCTGAGGACACCAGGGAAGCACTTCAGTGGGGGGGGGGGTTCCAGTCTTCCTGGGCTCCCCAGGGCCGTCCAACCCTTGCCCCCTGGCTTCCCGGCACAAGGATAGTGAGGTTTTTGGGAGGAGCCCGTCTCCAGCAGGGGTGTAAGCTGCCACTGCTCCCAGCGGGGTGAGTAATCCCGGTCACTGCCTGCTTCTGGCTCACAGCCAGGAGCAGGGGTCGTGGACTCCTTCAAGAACATCGTCACCCCCACCTCCTAGAACCTCGGGTCTCCCCCCACCAGCTGAGTCCTGACCAGCTGCAGGAGCATGGGGGCCCTGGGCCCACACGAGGCAGCTCACCCAGCCCCGGACAGGGCACCCGCTCCGCAGAGCCTAGCGCTCCACAGTGCCCGCCCCAGTCCGCCCCGCCCCCACAGCTCTTTTGTCCCTCTACAGGATCCCTGGGCTCAGGCCCCCTGGAAGGGGGGAGCCCTGTGGGCCGCGGGTGAGATGAGACTATGATATCAGTTCCACGGCAAGGTGGGCAGAGCTCTGTGTGGCCCAGCGGGAGGATGGCGAGCTCAGGAGCAGGAGCCAGGCTTCCTAGACAGACAGCAGAAGCAAGGAGGGCTGCTCGGAGGAAGTGGCATTTCACTTAGGCCTTGATCTGGATTAGGACCTACAGTATTTGGGCCAGCAGAGTCCAGGAAGAAAGGGCCCCCAGGTAGAGGGGTGTCATTAGTGAGCGCTCAGGGGTCAGAGGGCTCGGCCTGAATGAGAAGCAGAGCTGCACTCAGCTGCTTTGAGGACTTCTGCAGACTAAAGGTGGGGGAGGGGCCCACCAGGCCACTGTGGTGCGTGCTAGATCCTGGGTGTGAGGGGAGGGGGCTGGCTGCGGGGGGCACCAGAAGACCCTGGAAAGTCTCCACAGGGAGGGGAGGAGTCCGAGGGAACGTTAGTGCAGAATCGTCCAGAAGACAGCACTCTGCCCCCACGCTTCCGCCTGGCACCCCTACTGTGAAGAGTGCCCAGTCCTGCCTGTGCCTGCTCAGCCTCCAGGGTCCACCTCCTCCGCTCCATGGTCCAGCAGGGAGGAAAGGGGTCCTTGTAAAAACCCCCGGGGGCTAGCCCAACCGCTTCCTGCCCTGCAGCCTCTCCCCGCTGTAGGACGGGTTACTTGGGGTCCAAGAGCGAACTTGCCACACCCTCTGGTCTCCAAAGGGGTCAGGCTGAGGTGGGGAGGAGCCGTCCCGAGCCGCCCCAGCTCTGATCAGATTCACCCCCGGTGACCCAGATACAGCGCTGGGGGCACGGGGAGACCGGCAGGTGCTGCTGGCCCTGGGCTGGGGTGTCGAGGCTGGGGCGGAGGTTCTCGTGAGGCCCAAGAGCAGGCCCTGTGTCTGCATCGAGATGGATCCCGGGGTGACGGGCCCTACTCTGACCCTGCTGCCTGTCCCCTCAGCTGGGGGAGGTGGCTTCTCCCCACGACCCCAGGACCACAGACACCTACGTGAGACTCCAGGGAGAACAGACTATGTGTGAGCAGCTCTGGGGCCTCTTCCCGGATCCCAGCTCCAGCGTGTTCCAGGGTTGGGGGACAGCGCCCAAACAGGCCCAGAGCTTCCAGACGAGCACGGGGTGGGGGGTGAGAAGCTGTCCTGCCCCCGAGGCAGGCCACAGTGGGCTCCCGTGCGGCGGGCAGTCTTCCCCTGCAGATGCACCCCAGGCCCTCCCTGCCGGGTCCCTGTGGGGACCGTCCTTGTGTCCTCAGGAGGCTGGGAGCGGAGCAGAGGAAGGCCTACACTGGCCAGCGGTGGGCAGGCTTCGGCAAAGCTGGCTGACCACCTTTTTTTCTCACCTCCAGGGGCTCAGGGAGCCGAGGTATCACACGGTAAGCACCCAGGGCCCTTGGATGGGGGGACAGAGGCGGGGGCTGGTCTGAGGGCTGCAAGACGGGCCAGAGGCTCACCATCCCCCGGAGTGAGACCCAGAAGCCAGAGGTGGGGTACAGGGAACGGCTGTGGCTCAGCAGCATTAGAGCCAAGACGGGGGACGGAGGGAAGTCTGCCCCGCAGTGCAGATGGCACGGGAGCCCCACGAGGCAGGGGGTGGTGGCTGCAGGAGGCTCAGGACAACTGGAGACCATTCTGCTGTAACAGTGCAGACCCCTTGGGGTCACCTGCGTGCAGGGGCCCCTCCGGGAGCCTGCTTGCCGGGCTCCGGGATAACTCCCTGACGTGCCTCCCTGGCACCCTCTCTGTGTCTCGTGACCGACAGGCGGGTCTGACGTCGCTGGGTCAGAGGTGAAGGGCAGGGGCACGTTCCCAAGGCCGGAGGGGTGTGCCTGTGACCCAGCACCCGCAGCCCTGACCTGCCCGAGGGCTCAGCGCTGGTCAAGGATAGGGAGGACCCAGGGTTGGGGAGAAACCAGACGCTAGAGTGCGGGGTTGGGAGCCGCAAGGGCCCCGAGTGAGCGCCTCCTGGCCTCGGCCCTAGTGTGCGGGCGCCCGAGGATGCTGAACCGGATGGTGGGCGGCCGGGACGCCCTGGAGGGTGAGTGGCCCTGGCAGGTCAGCATCCAGCGCAACGGAAGCCACTTCTGCGGGGGCAGCCTCCTCACAGAGCGATGGGTCCTCACGGCAGCGCACTGCTTCTCCAAGTGAGTCACCCCTCCTCCCACGGGCCCCCAGCACCTCGGACAGCGCCACCGGCCCTGGGGGGGCCCCCTCGGGGGGTGCCTGCCCTCTCCCTTGCCCCCTCCACACCTCGGGCCCAGGACGTGCCCCTTCTGCCTGGGCCTCCGCTTCCAGAGGAGCTTTTGGGCTGGCGCGGAATGTCCCTTCCTCCTCTTGGCCCCGTCTGAGGTCACCCAGGCCCCCAGGCTCCAGAACCAGGAGCTGGCTGGCCTCGGACCCTCAGGGCTTCTCGAGTGCGGATCTCACCTCCCCCCAGCGCTGCAATTTTTTAGGACTTCCAGTCTTAAATTCAGAAGTGTGGGCTCCGAGGGGGGGGGTCACTTGCCCAGGGCTGGTGGGCTGGCCCCCGACTGCACCCTGTGGGTGGCCCCTCTTACAACCCCTTCAGTTAGAGACTGTTACTGGCCCCACCCATTTGACAGAGGAGGACACTGGGTCATGGAGAACTTGCGGGGTGACTTGCCCAAGACCACCTGGCTGGCAGAGCGTAGAGCTGGGTGTCGGGCAGGAGGGGGAGTGGCTTCAGCTTCTCCCCCTGGACGTTACTGTTTTGAAGATAGTGTGCAGAGCGCCCAGGCACTGTAGCAGAGAAACACCCCCCGCCCCTCCGTCTCCCAGATCTCTGCTGGGCCCCCACCGAGAGGGGCGGTCTCACAGCAGCTCTGCTCTTTCCCGCCAGCACCTCCGAAACCTCCCTGTACCAGGTCCTGCTTGGGGCGCGGCAGCTGGTGAGACCAGGGCCACACGCCGTGTACGCCCACGTGAAGCGGGTGGAGAGCAACCCCCTGTACCGGGGCATGGCTTCCAGCGCCGACGTGGCGCTGGTGGAGCTGGAGGCGCCTGTGACCTTCAGCAACTACATTCTCCCCGTGTGTGTGCCTGACCCTTCGGTGGCCTTTGAGGCGGGCATGAGCTGCTGGGTCACCGGCTGGGGCAGCCCCAGTGAGGAAGGTAATGAGGTGGCGCCATGAGAGAGTGGGGGACAGGTCTGGAGAAGGCTTTGGACTGTCTGTGGGGGGGGCTGCTCCAAACCAGCGCTTTCTGCTGATACTGGTGCACGTGGATCTCTCCTCGTGGGTGGAGTGGGTGGGAAAGCAGCAGACGGGGGACGGCAAGGCGTGGGCCGCAGAGCGGTGGCCCTCCCTGAGACAGCGCTGAGCTGCAGACTCTCGCCCCCAGACTGCCTGCCCAGCCCGCGGGTCCTGCAGAAGCTCGCAGTGCCCATCATCGACACGCCCAAGTGTAACCTGCTCTACAGCAAGGACGCCGAGGCCGGCCTCCAGCCCAAAGCCATCAAGGATGACATGCTGTGTGCCGGCTTTGCCGAGGGCAAGAAGGACGCCTGCAAGGTAGGGGCTGGCGTGGGAGGCCGAGCCCGGCTCCTGACGTTCAGGCCGGGCCCAGGTGGAGGGGGAGCCAGCCCGGCTGGGACCACAAGGCCCCTGCAGGCGGGGCCGTGGGCCGCATCAGAGCCCAGCATTCCAGCAGTTGGGAATCAGACTCCTGGGCCCCACCCAGGCTGGATAGTCGGTTCAGGGGTCCAGTGTGGCCAGAAACTTTGAACAAGCCCCTCCAAGGTGAATCAGGGCAGGCAGTTCTGGGGGTGCCGGGAAATGGGCTCCCCCCGCCAGAGAAGGAAGGACCAGCCAGCAGGTGCCAGGCTCAGGGTCCTGGACAGGGACCTTCCCGGAGGAGCTGAGGGGAGGGCCGGGGACCAGAGTGTGCGCATACCCGTGTGCTGCAGCGGCTGGCTCCCAGGCCTGGGGGCTCTGACCGCACCCCTGCTTCTCCCACAGGGCGACTCGGGGGGACCCCTGGTATGCCTGGTGGGCCAGTTGTGGTTGCAGGCAGGAGTCATCAGCTGGGGCGAGGGCTGTGCCCGCCGGAACCGCCCAGGTGTCTATATCCGGGTCACCTCCCACCGTGACTGGATCCATCGCATCATCCCAAACCTACAATTCCAACAGGCCGAGTCGGGTGGCCAGAAGCGGGGGCACCGGGTCCAGCAGCACCTCCTGGACTCTGTGCCCTGCCTGGCGGCCCACATGCTCCTCTCAGTCCTCGCGGCCCTGCTGGCTCTCCTCTGAGCCCCGGGACCCATGGTGTACATTTGTAAATAGCGCTCTCGTCCTCTCTGGTCAAATGCCCAGTTGTTTTTTTATTTATGTTTATGCTCCAATAAAAACCTGACCTCAGAGCTGGCTGCCCTGTGGTGCCTCAGGGAGGTGGGGGGAGGCACACGAGGTCGGGGCGGGGGGGCTGCTGCGGTGCTGGGTGGGGGCTGAGGCTCCCGGGCGGGAAGGGAGCTGCAGCAGGTGCACTGGACACCCATCCCCAGATCCACTCACAGGGGCTTCCCTGCTCCCCTCCCTGTCTCAGGATCTTTGCCAACATGGTCTTCATCAGGAGTATCACCCTGGGGGCAGCACCAGATGCCAGTGGGAAAAATGGGGGCCCAGTGGAGACCATGGCCACCCCTGCCTGTGTCTGATTCAGCCCAAGACTTCTCTAACATCATGGCTGTGCTGTCCCACCACCAGGGGAGGAGCAAGGGCTGTTCCCGCTGCCTTGGGGTCCCCCCACCGTCCCCAGCATCTTTTCCTCCGCCCCCTCCCTCAGTCTCGACTTCCCAGGGGGGAGTCCAGAACTGTGGGGAACTGGAGGCACTGGGCCCTCCTGCCTCCCAGGGGTGACTGGGTGGTGGTGAACTCACCGAAGGGCAGGGCAGGGACAGGCAGAGACATGGACCCTGCCCCAGGGTCCCCTGCACGCGCCTCCCTCCCAGGCTCCAGACCCCCCCTGCAGCAGCCCAGGGACAGCTCTACTGGGCCACCGGCCCCAACACCCCAGGAGGCCAGAACCCCCGAAATTTTGGGGAAGCAGGCACCAGCACGAGTCCCCAGCCTAGGCCGTGGAGGTCAGCAGGATAGGGTCCCCCTGCCCAGGCCAAGGCCAGGACCCACTTCCCTCCTCCTTCCACAGGGTTTTGGGTCCAGGACACACTAGCCAGAGTATTCAGTGGTTTGTGCAAGGACTGGCGAGAACGCAGAAATGAGCTAGAACCCATCAGCAGCCCCTAGCTCTGCAGGTGGGGGTGGGGGTGGGAGAAGGACTAGGCTGCAGGGGTCCTGAAGGCAGCCCTACGACGAGTTCTGTGAACACGGGCTGGCCTGGGTGGAACCCCCCACCCTCCTCTGGGGGGTTAAAAAGCCTCAGGCCCCAGGCTGGGGTGGGGGGTGCTTCAAGATTAACTGGTCTCTAGAGGGAGACCCCCTGCCGCCTCTGTGTTGAGAGGCCAAAATGAAACCCACTGTGGGAACTGGACAAAGACCAGGCTTCCTTGGAGGAGGACTTGCCACCCCCCCGACCTCCGCCTCCTCTCATCAGCTGTCCCAGCCTTCTGGTGCCGAGGACTCCCACCACCCCCATCCTCTTGCCTCTGCTACAGGGCAGGGGTCTGGTCAGAGTCCTTCCGGGCACAGATGCCAGGACACCCCACTGAGCTAGGCTGGGAGCTCCTGTGTGGGACGGTGGCCAGCATGTGACTCTAGGCACAGTTTCCATCCCCTGGGCTCCCCAAACTCGGGCCCACCCAGACCCAGGGCAGATATTCAAGAGAGTGGAGGAGAAAACACTCTCACAGAGACTAGGGATTTAAAAGGAGAGCAGGTTTATTTCATGGAGTTGACACAGGAAGTAATGTGTGCTGGGACAAGGGCTGAGGAGAGAAACTGCCCTGCTGTCACAGTCCCTTCTCCCACCCTGGCTGGGGGGGACACATTGCTGCCAAGCTGCGCCTCAGATAGCACACAGACTGGGACACTGTCCACCGACCTAGGCTGGGGGCCCACGATGCAAAGCCCACCTGGAGGGGGACAAGCATAGCAGCCCACAGGTGAATCAAGAGGAGGGGGCGACCTTTCCAGGGGCTGCAGCTGAGCAGGGAAGCCCACACCTGGGGCCCAGCAGCCCAGGTGCCTCCTGGGGTTAGCCGTGGCTCTGAGTCACAGGACTGGCCCTGGAGCATCTGTGCAGGAGGCCAGAGTCTGAGGCCAAAGGACCCTCCTGCCCCCCACCTGATGCAGCCGCCCATAGGTCAGGTGCTCAGAAGGCAGGGCAGACAGGACACACGCAGGAGAGGAAGGGGTGTGTGTGCTGGTGAACGCCCCCAAAGTCAAAGACCGACCTCCTCCCAACCAGGGGCTGGAGTGAGCTGCTGCGTCTGCTCCCGGCCAAGCCAGAGACCATGCGAGCTCTGAGCACCGGAGGGCATAGGCTGCCGCGGACAGACAAACAGCCACAACACAGGGTGGACTGACGGGCGCTGGCGCACCTGCCGGCCATAGCCTCCAGTTCTGGGGAGGCTGGACGAGGCCAGAGAGACCTGCTGGGTGGACACAAGTGAACATGGGGGGTGGGGGAGAAGCAGGGGGACTGCTGGTCCCTGTGCGGTGCCCTGTAAGTGTGCCCTGCACACTCCACGTGCCCGCCTCCCTCTGTCCTGCCCTCAGGGAGCTGTGCCCTCCCCACCCCCCTGCAGCAGGCCGGCTGGAGGCCTCCCCGCCCGGCAGACCCAGAGGAAGGGCCCTCAGTCTTGGGACCTGGGCTGGGTGGCCAGCTCCCATCCAGCCCTGCACGTGGACAGGAGACAGGTTCAGATCTGCTGTTGGGAGCAGAGCCAGAAGGTGCCAACTGCTGTCTGTGCAGAGAGCAAACTGTCTGAAGCAGAATTTGGAGTCCTCTCCCCATGCCCCCGACTGTACACTGAGCACGAGCTCAGCGTCCCCGCAGCCCACTCCCAGCCTGGGCCAGCAAGGCAAATGCCCGAGACCCTGGCAAACAGGATGGTCACCAGAGAAGACTAGGGGTTTGGGTGGCGCCCTGCACCTTAGGATCACCAAGAGCAGCCAGCATGGGGAGCAGAGTGGGACAGACAGGTGTGCACCCTTGCCATGACGAGCCATGAGTGCCTCACAATGTCACTAGAAGACGATCTCCTTTGTCCCCAGGGATGGGGCAGGATGCCAGCAAAAGAGGTAGGTGAGGTGGTGGTGCTGGCACGGCCGAGGTGGGAGATGGGCGTGTGCCGCTCTGCTGTGCCAGCCCTGGCGCTCCCCGGGCCCTCGTGGGCGCCCGACATGCAGATGGCCGCCAGACAGGCAGGCGGACGGCCACCACGAGCCCACGTCAGCGCTTCTGCAGCAGCGGCTTCTCTGTGCGCTTTGAGACACTAACAGTTGTTCTCATTCATAAATACACAATTTTATTTGCTATTTTCAGGGGAAACTTAGGCATTAAACTGTAAGCTGATAAAATACGGATACCTAAAAAAGTATAAAAGTATAAATACCCCTCAGAATAAATTTTAGTGAATTAAGTCTTAATATCTTTAAATTAAAAAACCACAAGCCTATCTATTATGTCAAGATCACAAATCAAACGACGCCACGTGGCCAACAGCACACACAGGTTCACCCCAAGGCCAACGCGGGGCTGCCCCCACCCCGGGCACCCCGGGGGAATGGTTGCCGGGCCCAAATGTGTCCTCCAGAAAGACTGCGATGAATGTGAAGCCAAACATTTAACAAGAGACAATAGACCTCACAGGAAGGAGGAGGTAAGTCCCAGGTGCCGGAGAACTTGGTTAATCAGGTTATTGGCAAAGAAGAGGACACAGGCGAGAAGCCTCCGGAAGCCCTGGAAACTAGGCACGCCCGAGCCTCCGCCCCGCTCGGCGGCGGTCAGAGCGCCCGGTGGACCCCGCAAGGAAGCGGAGAGCTGCCCGCCTGCAGCCCCCTGACAGCTAGGAAAGGTCTGTCCTCAAAGCATGCGAGCAGCGCTTTTTACAGGGATTCTAGTAGGTCCAACATCATGTCCTGTGGGCAGAGCCCGTGCAGGTCGTGTGAGTCTCAAACACCCCAAACCCCAGAGAGAACTGCATAGTTAGACAAAGAAGACGAGCGAGCCGGCGAGAGGGAGAGATTTGTGATGCATTGTAAACATCCGGTTTTCAGGGTGACCGGGAGTCTCAGCTCCGGGAGCCAGGTGGACAGGCCTCCGCCCCGACCTCCATCCCAGGACCTCCATCCCAGGCGAGACAAAGGCACTGACGGGCAACAGCTCCCCCCCAGGCCCGAGGCTGGGCCAAACCCAACAAGCATCTACCTCCCCTTCAATGACTTAACGCATCAGTCCAAAATGCAGCAACACTTTCAGGCATCTCTAAAAAGTACAAACGCTGGGTCGTCTGTCCACACTGGGGAAGAAGGGATGCAAAGTTCTCTTGCCTGTAAAATGTAAGTGGAGAAGCCTCGACTGTTCCCGACATGGTCAGGCAGGGGGAGCCTGGCTCTGAAGGAGGCCGGGCCTCGGGGCTGAGGCCCGGGAAGTAGTGAACATGCGGGGGCCGCCTCTCTCAGGAGGCACCCGCTGGGGCTGCAAGAAACTGCCAACCTCTTCCACCGGGAAGGCAGAGTGGACTACCTGACCCGAGGACCAGGGCCTGGTGCACGTGGGTGACCAGTGGGCACCCAGAGCCTGTGGCCACGGCGCTGCAGCCACTTCCTACCAGCAAGGCCCAGGCTCCGTCACAGACTGTTTATGTTATGTTAGCACCAAGAGCGCTGTCCTTTAAATGATCTTCGGTGATTACAGGGGTTGGCTGGAAGCTTCCCGCCTCGGGCCCATGCAGCATGGGGAACACCGAGCGGAGGCCCCCAGGGGGACACCCACCTGGCCAGCACGCCTGCTCCGAGTGGGGACGCCCGGTCCCAGACAGGTGGTCCCGTCTTGCACCGCCCACCTCAGAGGCAAAAAAGGATCCACACCCAGATCTCTATAGAGAAATTGTCAAACGCAGGTTTCTTCTCACGGCCAAGCTTCCTCCACATGGCAGATCGTTGCAACTTAGGACAAGATAAAATGTTTCTTCAGCTGTCAACACTGTGCTTCTCACATCCTTGAACCCCGTTCTTGCAAAATCTGAAAATGCCAAACACAGACAATGAGGACCTGGGTGCTGCACGGGGCTGCACCTTGTGGCCAGCTGGGAGCCACGAGGCCCTGAAGCAAAGCACCTGCTCCGGAAGCAGGGCCCAAGACCTTAAGTCTGCCTGCAGGTGGCTCAGGGGGCCAAGCACAGGCTGGAAGTCGGCCCAGCCAGCAGGCGCAGACCCTTGCTGCGGAGCCTGCCCTTGAGCTCTCCATCCCAGCCCAAGACCTCCCACCACAGCAGCCAGCCTGAGACACGGGTGGGGGTCATGGCTCCTTATTTAGCGCCCAGAGGTCCCTGGCAGCCGGCTCCCCTGATGGCCGCCCTTGCTTGCCTTCTGTGGGTGACAGAGCCCACCTGGGGGTTCAACAGCTCACCTGAGAGGCAACCACCCCCGAGGCTCCAGCCTACATAGATCTGGGCTGCAGACGTGTGTACAGCCAGCGCCCTCAGGGCACCAGCGGTCCCCACCTCAACCCGTTCCTCTTCACACCCGTCACAGACCCGGCCTAAGCCCCACAACCCACAGACTTGAGCTCCCAGAACTACCCCATCACCTCCACACCCGCCGGTTCAGCCTGCAGGGCTCACATCGTGCTCCTCGGTGCGCTGGCCTCCCTGCCTCAAGGGCACCAGCCCCTGCAGAGTCCATGGCCTCTTGGCCACCATGCCTGCCCTGTCCTTCTCCCTCCCCCTCGGCATCTCAGGGACAGAGCAGAGCCCCCAACCTCCTTCAGCCCCAGAATCTGTGTATCCTGTCCACCCCCAAACCAGGCTGGGGGCTTCTAGAGGTCTGAGCACTGGCCAAACCCTAGAGAGCTGAACCCCACGCAGCCCAGGTGGAGGGGAAGGGACCACTGTGTCCCCAGGTGGGGGCTTTAGAGTCCGCACATCTCTTGCTGTTTCAATCCACATGTGCAGTATGGCTACGAAGCACTAGGTAACCACGAGAAATGGCCCGAGTCCCATCTTGGCTCAACCCAGCCAAGGCCAGTGCTGTATGAGGCAATGTGAAAGCGAGCCTCCAGGGGGCATCTTCTGCCTGAATGCCAGAGCTGAGAGAGATGGGGCTCTAGGGACACCGTTTCTGAACAACATGCGCACAGCGTGGGACTGTGCCCTGGGAGGTACCAGGCTGCTCACACCAGGACCAGGTCCACAGAGACACTCTGGCCAGAAAGAGACTCCCTGCCTCCCAGTGAGGCCTCGCCCTCCTGCTCCCAGGCCAGGGTGGCTGCCCAGGACACCGTGGTCACAGGAGCAGAGGCCCCGGGCACTCATATCCATGAAGCACTTGTTCTGAACCACTCAGGAAGGCACAGGTTGTTGAGGGTCACTCCAGCCTGCGCCCTGGTGCCCTACACGCCCCTGCCAGCCCCTGGATGTGCCCGCCAAGGCTCCGAGGGCTCCGGGACAGCTGCCTGACATGCTCTCCTGCCCACTGCGCCCATCTCCTGGGACCCCGCTTCACTCCCTGTAAGGTGCAGCCTCATCTGTGATGGAGAAGCAGCGCCCCAGATTGAACATCCCTCCTCAGGCCCCTAGGTTTAGGGAAAAGTCCAGGAGACCCCTGTCAGAAGGATGTGGTCTAGGGGAGCTGATGCAGGAGGGTCACATGCACTGCATCGGCCCTCGCAGGTCCCCACTGTTCCTGCGGTGCTGGCCCCAGTCCCATCATCTCTGCTGTTTGCAAGGCAAGCTGGAAACCGTGCTGAGGAGAGTTTCTGAGTCCACAGTGGAGAGGATGAAGCCCAAGCAACTGGAATGCCGCCCACCAGAGTGAGCCCCAATAACTACCTCCTGACGAGGATGGAACACCACCCCTAGGGCCTGTGTCAGCCACAACCCCATCTGCCGGGGAAAGCCTCTTCCCCGGGCTGCCTCCCAAGGCGGGGCCTGAGCCGACCACAGGGACCAGCTGTGTCCCTTGAGTAGCACAGCCTGACATGCCCAGGCAGGTGCACCGTGTCATCGTGCGAAGGCAGGGCCCGCCCCAGGGCTGCTCCACGACCAGCCCACACCTCCCCTCCCACAGCCCAGTGAGTTGGGGCCACCAATGTGGCTTCTGCATAAGTTGGTTCCCCTGTGCTCACACGGGTTCCCCCAGGGTGCAGCCGGGCTCTGACCACAGGCTGCTAGCACCACTCACTTTCCAGCCGGGCCAGGTTGGTGCCTGCTGCGCACGAGGCTGCTGAGCCCGAGGAGTGACCACTCCCAGCAGAGCTGGGCCACAGACACAAACTACATACCGGGTTGGAGTCTTGAATGACGAAAGCAAAACACCCCCATGATTTTGGAGGTTCTCCATGTACTGAATCAATACTGTTAGCTTATATTCAAGTTTCTTTTGACTTTCTCAACGTGGCTACTAGGAAGTTTGAAGCAACAGATGGGACTCATTCTGCCTATCTCCTGGCCTGTGCTCATCCAGACCAAAGCTTGGTAAACTCCTGGAGAACCAGGTGACAAATACTTGAAGACGGGTGGATCAAGAGGCAAGACTGAGAACGTTGTATAAATCATCAAAAAGATAACTGAAAACGTAAATGCCACTCTTATTTTGCAATCTCCAGTCCAGACCTCTCACAGCGGGATGGTCAACCTTTCAGGGCTTGGCTGGCCACATGCCTTTCCTGAGCTCCCAGAGCAGAGGCTGAGGAGCCCCCAATCTGCACGGCTTGGTCCATGACAGGGGTAGGGAGGGAGGACTCTGGAGGGAGCAGGGGAGCACCATGGATGATGTGTGGCTTGCCCACCTACAACCTGTCCTCTCTGGGCCTCGACTCCCCGTGTGCAAGATGAGGGCACAGAACAGGTGGCCCTTGCTAATGGTGAGCACAGCCGGGCTCTGGACCTGGACAGTGGGAAGAGGGACGGGACACAGCAGGGATGTGAACAGCAGCTGGGGACCAGGATGTGTTCGCGGAGCCCCTCATCACAGGGCAAACAGAAAGAAGGGCAAACAGAAAGAAGATCGTCAGAGACTCCTCTCTATCAGCATCCCACTCCTGAGGCTTTGGTGTCAGGACTGAGGTCCCCCCCTAAGGCACAGCCCTGGCTCTGTGGCCCTGAGTCCGTGGCATTGTGACAGGATGGGTAGGCCTGTGTCCTTGCCCACTGACATCCACAGCGATGAGGTCCTTTCAGCGACTGACACATGGGGTTCTTGTGCACCCCAGCCTGGGTCCCAAGGCCACCCACATGGACATCCTAAAGGAAACAGACGATAGCCCCACCCGAGACAGCTGGCTCCACCAGAGATCTACAGTCAGCTTCTAGTGCAGAAGGTTCTCTGTCCACTACAGGTATGGGAAAGTGCAGCGGAGGAAGGGCTGGGGTCAAGGAGGCTAAGGTGAGTGGTGAATGCAAGGGTGACAGAGCTCACCATGACATTTACACTTAATCTGAGTCATCCCCATCATGACCCGTCTCCTCGTCGTCACTCTGGCTCGGCACGCAGCATGCGGCAAGGGAGAAGAAGAGAGGGCACTGTCAGTGCAGGCTGGGACAGGGTGGCGGCTGGGGAGCCCACCCACAGAGGCCGTTTCCCCAAGGTGGTGGCAAGTGTGGGTGCTCGGGGGCAGGAACGCCCTCTGCCCTCTGCACAGGCGGACCAACCTCGTGTCGGGGGTCCTGGATCCTGAACCCACACGTGCAGACATGCCACAGAGAAAAGCACCCAATCGTTCCTGAGCCTGGCACTCCCAGGGTTCTACTCTGCCCTCCCTCTTTCTAGTGAGGAACTGAACCTTGCTCCAATAAGAGGTGTGGCCTTTACTGCTGGCTCCAGAGAGGCAGTGACCTCCGGGCCACAGTGGACAGTCTAAGAACGTGACAGGGGTGAGGTCAGTTGGCCAGGGAACAGGAAACTGATCAAACAGGCAGTCATCGATCAGTTATCAATCGATCTTGTCTGTGTCACCGAGAGCAGTAAAATCCCTGGACACGGAGGTGGGTGACATCCCTGGTGGGCAATGTTGTGCGTGCTAGCACCTGTCAAGACCCCGCAGAGGAGCCCTCACCTGACAGGTCTCCGGGCCTCCGCCCCATGCTTTGCCCTGCTGGACCTGAGCCCTTGCTCTCTGTACTCCTGACGACAAACCACACCCCAGGGTCCCCTCAGTCAGAGAGTTCTGCAAGCCTTCCCAGCAAATCTCGGATGGGCAGAGGGGTCTGGGAAGCCCCTGAGCTGGCGGCCGGCGGTGGAAGCGAGCCACCCTCATGTGGACCATTGTCCTCACTAATCACTAAGCTCCCTGCATGACGCCTGTCCGGAGCCGGGAGGCTGACACTCGCCACCCTCACGGGTGCAGTACTGCTACAACCAGGGTGCAAACGGTGTCCCCAGTCACAACCCCTAATCCAGCCCTGATGGTTTTCCATGGTGTTCCGGGGACCCCGACCATGTTTGGCCTCCTGGGGAGCTCCCGGCATGGCCCTCATTTAGAAACCAAAGCAGCTATCACACTTCAGACCCAGGTATTTTTGGAGAGAAAAACAGGGCTACATTTTCAAAAGCAAAGGGATTTGTGGTTGTGCCTGGAGCTTCCTCAGAGCACAGACGTAGCCTTTCTGCAGCAGAAAAGCCACCGGAGGGAAGTGAGCTCAGGAGGCCACCCCGGTAAAGTAAAACCTTTCAAGTTCAAACATCAAAGTCTCTAAAAATGAACAACTTACAGAATTCTGCAACTGCTCAGAGAGATGTGCCTCCTTATGAGGCTGGGGGCTCGGGGGCTCAGTCACCCAAGACTCAATGGGCAGCACATCCCCAGGCCCAGCACTGTCGATGTGGTCCTGACCCAGGTGGGAGGCGGAGTGGCCTCAACGCCACGTGTGCAGCTACGGTGCTGCGGGCCAGGGTGGGGACATCCTGGGTACTGGACAATCGCCCCCTCGTGAAGACACCCGACTCCTTCATGCTGTGAGGACAAGCTGCCATGAGCCCCGTGAAGATGGCCACCTCGGGAAGGCTAACATACGTGGGGGCACTGCTGTCTGTTCCTAAGCTGACACCTCTAAGACAGGCCCTGAAAGGGTCACAGGGCAGTTCTGGGCCAGTGGCATTGACTAGAGGCCACCCGGGAGGGCTGAGAATCTGAGGAAGAATCAGGAGCCTCCAATTAATGACATCAGTTAAAATCCATTGGGTTCTGGTCTTTTCCTGCACTCATTCAAGTGCCCTGTGGCCCTGAGCCTTCACCCGGGGTGCCCGCCACAGAGCCCTACCCCCTTCCTTGGTACCCCCACAGAGCTGGCTCCAGGGCCCAGGAGTCTTGTCGGGTGGAGTCAGCCATGGGCAGAAGCATCTGGAATCAATGACCCCAGAGGACGTGCCAGCTGCTGCTCTGTCATGAGACTAACCCGAAAACGAGCAGCACGGCCGTCCCTGCGCGCACCCTGGTTGCACCTGCCCTCCTGGGGCGATGGAAGAGCCAACACCCAGAGGGAGCCGGTGCCGTTTACACAGGGATCAGTCCGTGCTGGTGCCTTGCTGAGGCCACGCTCCCAGGAGTCTGAAAATCGTATCATCTGCAGGATCTGCTCCTTTTACAAACCAAACAAGACTCTCAAGACCAGGGTGGATGCGGCTAAGGCAGGTGCCACGCGGGGGGCCCCCACTCTCCAGCCCTGATGTCCCCAGTCCCTGGGAAAACAGCACACCAAAGCATCACTTAGAAGACAAACTTGCAGAAGCAGCTCTGCCTGCCTGAAGGTGTTGGCAGGGGGCTGCGGAAGCCCCAGAAGCTCGCCTCAAGGGGCGGCCTGTGCTCAAAGACCCCTCCATCACCCATGGCGCTCTGCCCACCGACGGCCCATGGGGCCCATGGGACCCACAGGTCCTTCCTTCCCTCCCAGGCTCTGCTTCTGATACGTCAGGCGAGAACTTGTGACCAGAGACAAGAGCATGAGGTGCGTGGGCCCCACCGCAGGCCCAGTGCCCACCCGCCTGCGGTCACCCACCTTGGCTTTCTCACTGGGCTCACTGGCCGTGCCGTACGGGGAGTTGTGCAGCTCCTTGGAGACCACACAGAGGAACTCCGCCTGGTCCTCGCTCCCGTAGTTGTAGGAAGAGCCGATGCTGACCAGCTGCGAGGAGAGAAGAGCACGGCGTGGGGATGAGTGCTGCACATGTGTCCAGCCCACCCGCCAGCAGGGGACTGTAGCCCGCGAGCCTGCGCCAGCGCCAACCGGCACCGCGGAGATTAAAGAACAGGGTTCAGCCTCGAGGTTTCTAATGAACTCACAGAAAATGAAATCCCAAACACGTGTACACAGGGCACACACGTGTGCGGGCCACCCCTACACGTGCACCACGCATGCGATGGGCCATCTCGGCTGGGCCACTCAGCTCTCTTGGGGTTCCAGTGGGGCCCACAGGAGTGGGGGCCTGGTGCTGGGAGGTGGGGGGGGGCAGTGGCGGCTGGCTCAGAGCAGATGGGGGGCGTCACGGCCTTCAGTGTAGGGCCGATCCCTTCACACGGGTTGGGCACACGGGAAGGTGAGCTCCCACACGCTGTGCCTGTTCCTGCTGCAGCCACCAGGCCTTCTGAGAGGAAGGTAGGACCGACCTCCTCCCAGCAGGGCCATTAACCTGGAAGGGCACACTTGGCGTGGGGGGGGGGGCGGAGGGGCCGGAGGGGCCGGGGTGTGGGAGCCTGGATCTCACAGATGGACGCGGGTGAGCTGTGTCTTCCACTCTCCGCAGGCTCAGCTGTGTGGGAGGCATGTGACAGGCAGACACGCACAGCTGACCCGCCTGCTCATGCGCATTTAAATGCAAAATGAGTCCAAAGGAAGCTTCACACTAGTGAGGCTTCCCAGGGCAGAATTACTGAGCTGACAAGTGCCTTGAAGGGCCCTCGTTCCTTGGCCACACACGCTGGAGGCCGCCAGGGGCAGGGGCACCAGAGCGGCAGCGTGGGGGCAGCAGGCAAGGCTGAGCAAGGAGAGTGTGCTGGGCAACACGCCTGTGTGGCCGGAGACGGGAGAGCACAGCGGCCGGCGTGTTCTCCCACCTCTCTGGGAGGTCGTTCTGGGTTCACTGATATCCCTGGAGAGATGTGCCCTGGCACCTGTGGACCCCGGGCGGGAGAGGGGCGGCTCTGGGTGCAGACTGAGCTGTGGGTGTGCAGCCACGGAGAGGGCCGTCTGCATGCAGACGACGTTCTCTCACAAGGCACGTGAGTCTTATCGAGGGCCCTGCGCTTGGCGCCCACACCCCTTAGGGTTCTGGGCTCTTACCCACAGCAGTTCCAACTCCTACTTCTGGGAAGTAGAGCATTTCTCCTCGAACAGGACTGGCTCTGGAGCTTCACCGGCAAGAACCGGGAAGACACCCTCCAGGGACAAACTAGGCAAAACAGGTAAGACTCAGGGACAAGAGGAACCTGGCTTGTGCGACGGACTTGGGATCTTCCAGAGGAGCTAAGGACAAAGCCTCAGGCCGAGCACAGATAGGAAGACAGAGGCTTACGCAGGAGATTCTCCCTCTCAGCGAGAGCTACAGAGGAAGCTCGCTCCAAGTGAGGGGGACCCAGGTCAACACCCCGACTGGTACCTACAGCTCCCGTGTCCCCAGCCCTTCTCCAGGCTGCACAGTGAGGGAGCACACGAGGGGCATGGGACGGGACGTGCGTCCCTCCGGACCAGCCACTCACTCTGCTGCCCTCCCCCGATTGGAGGGAGGATGCAAACACCACAGCTGTCTTAGTGACATTTTAAGGGGATGCCAAGCATGCTCTACAGTGTGATCCACTGTTCCAAAAGACCCACAGAAAAGGTGTGGCCTTTAGAAGGGAGCCTGGGGTGAGCCTGTAATTTCACGCCCTCCCTCCGGGCAGGACTGCTCACCGTGGCCAGAACCTGTGTGGGATGGAAGCCAGCAACACTCAGAGGCCTGAGGGGCCCTGGCCACCAGGGCAGGTGCTACCTGGGGCTGGGGGCTGGGAGCAGTGAGAAGTTTGTTGAAAAGGTACTAGCAATCAGCAAGCATCCTGGACATGCTCACAGGCCCACAGCCAGTGGGCAGCAGCTGTACAGGCTGGGAGCAGGGGCTCCACAAAAGGAAGGGGCACTCCCACATCCTCATGTCAGGCCAGGAAAGTGGAGGGCACAGCTGCGCCAGAGCCGAGGGCAGGAAGGGGACCGGGGGGCCACAGAGTAGCCCCGCTGGGAAGGGCATCTGTGCCAACTGCAGCACAAAGGAGCCCAGGCCACCATCTGCTCAGCCAGCATGGGAGGGGATGTGAGGGGACAGGAGGGCAGGGCCAGGCCGGGATGCGCTCAGGCTGTTGATCCCACACACACGGAGAGACCAGATGGAAGCACAGAGAGCAGTCCCCGCAAAGTACGGGCTCAGGTGAGGAAGGGTAACCAAGAGAGAAGGGTGGGCTCCAACACAACTCCACCCCCCCAACATCTGTGACCAATCCAATCAGGATGGGGCACAACTCCTCCGACACCTCATTACCAGTCCCTGAAGGCAGCAGGCTCATGGCAACCCTGCTGGAGGGGTGGGGCCTCACCTGCTCGAACTTCCAGCCATCAGACATGGTAGACACCATCTGGGTGAGCTCCTCCTCCTGACACTGCAGCACACGGTAAACATGCTTCACCGGCACCTGTGTGACGACAGCTGCAGCTGAGACAGGCCCCGCATGCCCCCTGCCAAGTCCGGGGACAGCCCTGCAGATGACGCAGGGGAGGATGACACCCCTCAGGCTCAGGTCGTGGCACACAGAGTGACACCCCCCTGCCCATCATCCAACAAAGCAAAACAGGCCGAAGAGGTGCCTTTGGAAAAACATTTTCTACTCCTCATCTGCCACCAAACACGTTTCTATTTCTAAATTGCAAAATTCAGTGAGTCATGCTCCTGAAACCCTGACAGCACCCTGGGCTAGACATGAGCACGCGAAGACTGTGCCCGCAAGCAAAGGCAGCCAGGAGGGGACGGCGGCATGACTTCCGAAAAGCTGGTGTGTCACCTGCTGCGCCCACCCACCAACCTCCACCGAGTTGTGCTCCAGGCGCAGCCTCTGGTGCTAAAAGCACCTCGGGACTTGCCCGCCAGAAGCCTGACCTCGCAGAGCTGCTCCTCTGGCAGGCTGCAGCGGCGGCCATGATAGCACAAGAGTCACCATGACATGGTGGCAGTGGCTCATGCCGTAATGGTCACAGCCTCACTTGTGACAGTGAATGACACTGGTGCTCTCAGCCCAGGCCCTGAGGAGGGACTCCCCTGCCCCCAGCACTCAGATGGGTGCTCTGCCCAGCTGGGTCATGCTAGCCACTGACGGGACAGCTGGACGAAGGGGAAGCAGCACAGGCTGGCTCTGGTCAGCGGGAAGGGAGGGGAGCGAACTGTGCCTATGTGGTGGGCCTCGGAAGCGGCAGGCCTATTAGTCACTGGTCTTACCTGGGAGGTTTTGCTGTCTCGTTCTCTAATTTTGTCCTTTACAAGTTTTATTAGTGAGGTGATATTGTAAAATTCCGCTTCCTCCAACACTCCTAGAATAGAGAAAAATAACTAATTTTTACCAGATCCAAAAATAAATGTCTCGCTCGCATCCTACCGTGGACCCCACAGCCCCATGTGCAGACATGTTGGCTCTGAGTGGGGTGCCCCAGGATTAAGGGCAGAAGGCACGTTTCCTGCACACACTCCTGGCATGTGCCACTCCAGGTGGCCGGCTGGGCACACAGTCCCACATGCATCTATCCCAGCTTTTCCCTGGATGCCCCTGGACAGAACTTGGAGACCTCCCCACAGCCTGCGGACCACCTGCTGCCCTCACGTGAGGCCTGGGCTTGGTGGGTAGCTTTGTACAGGTCTATCATTTGGTGCCTCGGTTTCCCCATTCAACTGGAAGCCGAGCGGTTGAGAGCGTGGCTCCCAGCTATAGGACTCCTGCCAGTTTAGGGCTGCCTTTCTTCCCCAAGGCTGCCAAGTGTGCTCCACCTATTCAGGGACTCTCCAGTCCCAGGACCCCTGCCAGGGGTTCCGGAAGGGCCGTGCTGGGCACCCTGGCCAGACCTCACTCTATGCCGTGTCCCCACGCCAGCAGCCCCAGCAGCTTGGGCTGCGCCCTAACCAGGTGTCCAGGCAGCACAGTCAGAGGGGGCGCCTGGGGGTGAGCAGCTGTACCTACAATGTCACTTCTCAGGATGGCGTGTGGCCATGTCAGTGATGAAACGCCAACCTGGTGCCATCCTGTCGGCCATTGCCTCAGACCTGTGGGTGGGGACTGAGAGGCCTTGCAAGTGGGCACCAGGACCATCCACACACTGCGCTGGTGGCCACCATGGGCCCTTCCAAAAGCATGATATTGAGGTTGGTCAGGAGGCAGGTGATGAGGCAGGGTGGCAGGGGCCTGTCCCCAGAAAGCACCTGCCTCTGAGCAAGCTGTCCCAGGACCGGGCTGTGAAGTTTAGTCTAGAACTAAAGGGCTCCACAAACAGCACGGAGGAAGCCGTCCCAAATGTGAGCGCACGTGCATGCAGAAGGCCCCTTTGCAAGATGCAGGCTTGGGTCTGGAGGCCCAGTAGAGAAGCACACCAGGAAGTGGCAAGGAGCGAGCCCACTTCAGTCCCGGTGGCTGCTATAGGACCCCAGTCCCTGCAGGAGCCAGAGCCCACGCTGGATGGAAGCGCCTGGACCGCCCAGGGCCTCCCTGACTGCTGAGCTCCCTACTGGCTGCTCTGAGCACTGGAAGGCTTGAGAACAGGCAGAGCTCAGAGGTGAGGGTACGGTGGTGCCTTGGAAGGAGAGCACACCGAGACCAGGGAGCACCGAGATTCCCCTGGCAGGTGTGTCCGAGACTGCCTGAACCAAAGCAGCCGTGAAAGCGAGCAGCCTTCCGTGGCAGGAGCCCCGGCCCCAGCAGCCTCGCTAACTAGGCTCCTGAAGCGGTTCACAGCCCAGGTGACCTGTCCCCCTGGTGACAGCAGTCCTGATAGACCACCCCAGCCAGCAGCCTCCCCTCCTGGAGACAAGCGCCTGCTGCCCCGGGGGGCATGTGTGAAAGGCAGCCTTGAAGCAGTGAGGGGACGCAGGCACGTGGGATTTCTGCAGGGGAGGATGTGCAAGGCCTGCTCCTTAGCCAGCTCGGGCTGAGGGGTCTGTTGTCTTAAGTGACCAACCTGTCCACTGGGACCCCCGTTCCTAACTCACCTTCCTCTGCGAGGTCTTTGTTAATGACCAGCTTCCCGTGTCTTAGGTAGTTCAGCACAGGTCCAAAGTATGTGGGGTCTCTGTCGATTAAATAGGCACCAGTTTCATCCTACAAAGAACAAAACCCTGTGAGTCCTGAATGGGAAGGCAAGGATCTGCACGTGTGACACGAGGCCACACGGAGGGGGTGAGGAGGCACAGGGGTCGTGTGTGTCCCTTAAGCCATGGTCAGCCTGCGCTGGGGCTCTGCAGGGAGGGGGTTCTGGGGGCCTCTGGCTATTGGCAGTCTCGGGTCTAGGCCAAGTCAACCTCCCTTTATTTACTCAGCAGCAAGGGGACTGTGTAGGGTCCTCTCCTTAGCTGCAAACATGGCTGAGGGACGGTTTAGCCTCCATGCACGTGAACTAACACGAGTAAGTGAACACAGACTCTCTCCCCGGGCCCCGCAGCAGGGCCTTCTCATCCTGGGGTGGGGGTGGTGCGTCCGAAGCACACAGAAGAGCGACTGTATGGAGAGGCCTGACCTCCACGGCAAGGTGGCCCCGGGGTCCCTCAGGGATCGCTGACCAAAAGGAGCCACACCCCATGGGCAGCGTCTACGAAACAGACCTTCAGAAGGCACCTCACCCACACTGGGTGGCCCTGGTTCCTCCCGGAGGGTCAGGGCCCTCTGCTCAGTTGCCAGCAAGTTCCCAGCACAGCTTGGCCGAAGGACGTGGACATGCTGACCTGCGCACAGCAGTGGGGGTACCACCAGCGAAGGGGAGCCATGGCCGTCTAGGAGCCGACCACACTAGGGGCACCGCGCGTCTGCCCTGGGTCTGCTGGGCGGGTCTGGCCCAGGCCACCTTCCAGCGGGGCTGCCCTGCAACCAGGGACCCCGCCACCATCTCCCTCTCTGCCGCTGCCCGTGGCGAATCCTGCTCCTCCGGCAAGCCCACGTCCAATCCCTGTGGCCCCAGGGAGGCCTCCCTTTGAGTCAACAGGGTAATCCCGTAAGTCAGTGGAACAGCTGATGTGGCCTCCCTGTCCGAAAGCGGCTGCAGGGGCTCCTGGGCCTCAGCAGGAGCATGACCAGCTGAGACCCCGCAGGACGGTGTCAGCATCTCTGTGGGGCGAGCGTGGTGGTGGGAGTATCTGAAACTCCTGGGTGTGCTGTGCCTACAGACACCCGACACAGGGAGCCAGAGCGCATCCTGATGGCAAAGCAACACCCGCGTTAGGACCTGACTTCTCACCCAGGAGCATCACCTCCTGGACTGTGGGTGCAGAGCCTGGAGGTTCCAAGGGCTCCCTGCTCTTCTTACATCATCAGTTAGGGCACTGGGACCTGGAGCCTTGCTGCTCAGCAGGCAGGACCTGAGCACTCAGCCCAGTCTCCTGCCAGGACAGGCCACGGCCTGCTCCCCTGTGGGCTTCTGTCCCCCAAGGCGGTGTCCCCACTGCACAGAGACCTCCCGAGTTCATCCTCGTGTTCTACCCACCATCTAAGTCAGACACTGCCCCATGGACCCCTGCCTTCTGTCCGTCTGGACCCCTACTATTCCCCAAGCAAGGCCAAGGACCCATGGACCAGCTTTTGGAAGGATGCTCTACCGGTCTCTCTACTGGCAAAAAGTAGCCAGAAGGGACCAAGGCCTGGTAAGAAAGGGATGGTGTTGCCACAACATGAAGTCCGGGGCCCGTCCCCACCCCACCCCCAGGTATGAAAAGAGCCCAGGGCTTGACATTTGCACATCACCAGGCTCAGAAATGACTCATCAGTGCACTGCCACCTTGACACTGGCAAGCTGGCAAAAGGTCAAGATCAGATGGAGAGAGGGCTTGTGCCACCTTCAGGGCATCCCAGGGGGCCTCCCTATCCCAGTGGGCCCAGACTATGAACTCAAAGGGACCATCATCACACTGTGCTCCCCCCTTGCGGAACAAACCTGAGCTCCAGCGCCTGCCCTGGTACAGGGCAGGTTATGAGGTGGTACACTCAGCCCAGAGGCCGTTTTCACGCCGCCTCCAACATGCCCGCCCTGAAGGGAAGCACAGAGCTCTCCTCCTGAGGCTGCCTGGAGGCCCACCTGCCTGGACCCAGAATGGTGGGTTCACTGAGTGGCCTTGCGTGGGAGACTGTGCCACCCCCTGCCAGTGACGAGCCAGCTTGCCCAGCCCTGCCACCAAGGAGCAGCACTTACGGAAACTCAAAAGTGGTTTCTCCCATGGAGTCCCGCCAGGGCTCCCTGAACCAGTTTCTTCTTGGGGATTTGTTCGGAGCAGAAGGATTCCAAGATCAGGTGGGGCCAGGCAGCAGCGTCAGGACGCAGTACTCTGAACTGGGCTCGTCAGAGGGGGTTTCAATTCCCACAGGCAGTGTGGGGGCCCTACACCAAGACCCCAAAACTCCACCAGGCTTTATCTTGGGCAACTGCCTAGATGATCACAGACTGACTCTTAGACACATGTAGGCAAGACCTCCATAAACACTACGTGTCTGAGCACCTGAGCGTGCACAGCATGCTCTAGCGCTGGCGAGCGCAGCTGAGGGCTGGCTGCAGATAGGTACCTTCAACACTGTGGTGGGCGTGCCCACAGAGGTGTGAGGGGCCTCAGAACCTCTTATGCTTCTGGAAATGCAGCCCTGGAACCTCACTTCGGAATAGAAGTCTTAGGTTCGCTTACGCAAAAAGCCTAGAGAAAAGCATCTTGGCAACACCTACACTGGAAATTGGGGAGTGGTGGGGGCACGGCCGCTGACTCTCCACGCGGGCCTCGCCAGCTCCACTGCACCAGCACGCGCAGGCAGGAGCCCGGTCTGGTCACACAACAGGCAGCAGGGGACTGGTGGCAAGACTCGCAGGTCCCTTGTCTCCTCTTTCTGTCCTGTCCTCAATTCATAGAACAAGCGTGTGCTACATTTGTGGAATGGCAAGCTTTGCTGTTGTGTTGTTTGTAAAAGAGCCAGAATTAAGACTGCTTTCTCGACAAATCATTTCCCTCTATTAACCTTCCCCACTTCTCACTGAATTAGCGTTTGACCTACTTGTGAAGTGCTGGCTTTAAAAATATACACCTACCTTAAAGGGCTTAACAGGGAAGCTGGCCGGGGAGCTCCAGGGAAGCTGGAGTATGCAACAGGGGCCAGCTGCCCACAGCTGCCAGTGCGCCCACGGGGAGCAGGGCGGCCCAGTGATGCCCAGGCCGCCTGGATCCCACCCCAACTGGGACCCACCTTCCTGGCTGAGCTACTGGGCCATGGGCCCCAGGCGGGGAGGCTGCCGGACCACACAGATCACACCCTGGCGACGAGCCCTGATTGCACAGTCATTTTCCGAAAGGAGCCAGTGGGCAAAGGGAGGGCCAAGCCCACATCACATGCTCTCCCAGGAGACACCTAACCTGCAGCCCCGACACGGAGGTGGCAGAGTGGATGAGGCTGATTTGAAACCACCAAGAGAGCTCCACGCCCCGCTCCGTCCATTCCTTTCTGAGCCCACCCAGCATCCTTAGCCCATACCCCTGGGTAGGAAGTAAAGCTCTGCAAGGGGCAGACTCATAACTGTACCACTCAAGTAACGAGCCCCAAGGCTGACTTCTCCTTGCCCACTCTGCGCCCAGAAGTAAAACCTGACCCGCACATTTAAGGCAGGATTGAATGCACTGCCCAGCAAAGCACTGTGGATAAAGTGGGGGCTGCTCGTCCCTCAGGGCCAGCCGCTCCCTCAGCCCAACCACAGGGTCCTGGAAACGGTGATGAGGAGTGAGGATCAGGGATGTCAGACTCTCACCAAGATTCTAAATGGAAAAGAACTCTGTTGGCGTGAGAGCTCTCTATGGAGCGTCTGCACTTGGCCCCATTACATCACCTTCACGGCCTCCACGAACATGTCGGAAAATGGGACACCGCACCACTCCAGTGCAGGAGAAGCAGCACAGCCACTGGAGACTGCCAATGAAGAGGGCTGAGTGTCCTGAGTTAAATGGGAGATAGAATTCTGTTAAATTGCCCCGTTAAAAGCTAAATGCAGATGCACAGAATTCTTTGCACACAAGCAACTGCAATGAATCTAATAAGAAATACTTAGCTTTTACTCTAAAGCTACCCATTTTAAATGACTATTTCAAATTCCTGCACAAAACCTTCAGTCTCTATTCTCGTTTGTTTTGTTTTCTAGTTTGTCAAACCCTCCATCCAGAAGAGGATGAGACGTCAACGATTCCAAATGATGAGGTGGAGACCCAGAGAGTCAGGACTACACAGGGGTGGTTCAGAGTGACCCATTCAGTCTGGCAGGAGCCAGGGGCACTGAGAGGAGACACCACGTCAACTGTGCACACACCGCAGCAGGTGCTGGGTCACCCTGGGGCAAAGGGACAGTCCTGGGGAGGTGCTGAGCGGACCTGCCAGCCCAAGGGCTAGCCATCCAGCTCACAGCTGCTATGAACATTTATGTTGCAAGGCAGGGCACCGTCCATCTGCCGGGATTTCTCAGGTGCTCCCCTCCCTAGACATATTCCAGCTACAGAACACCTGCACGTAAATCCTCCACAGATGTCACATTACTTATTTTGGTGGCGTGAGTGTGTATTTAATATAAAACTGCTAAAAAAAATAATAATATAAAACTGCTGCCATGAAAGACTCAACTAGAGACGGAAACAGGTGGGAACCATGGTCGGTTGGGGCAGAAGCTCCACACAGGGATGACCCAAGGTCCCTGGCTGCAGTGCCCCTCCTCCACTGCCTCGGAGGGGAAGTCTCCTCAAGCCTGGAGTCCCCGGGCCCCAGGGCGACAACCACTCCACGCTGGCAGCCTGACACTCTGAAGCAGGGGCGCCTTGCCAGAGGTTTACGCTTAGCCCCCGGCTCCCGTGAGGCGCTCGAACCCTCCCTGCCAGCTGTCCCCACAGCCATCGCCCTGTTGGCTCCCAGGTGGCCTCTGCTCTCTTCCTAACCCTTGCCCTGCTGGCAGATCCGGTGCAGAGTTTACCCTCCCTTTCTGGCATGGCTCCTCCGCTCCCTCACCCAACCTCCGCCCTCCCTCCTGCCCACTGCAGTGGCTAGGCGTGGCCGGCGCCTCGCGCTGCCTGCCTCTCCCTTACCTACTTTGGCCTATCTGCCGGAGCTGGCCCAGCTCATCACCTGCAGAACTGCCGTCACCCAAGCCGGACGTGCAAAACCAAAGATTCTAGAAGCCCCACTGCTGAGGAAACTAGAACCCCCCAGAATGTGGACGATGGGAAGAGACACTTGTGCACAGGATGCCTTGAGCCTCTTCCAAACATGTGGGCGGATGGTACCAGAATCCTGAAGCTGTGTTCTCCAGGCTCAAAGACCTCAAGTTTCTTATAAGAAAACACGGTGGCTGCCCAGGAAGCACATGCTCCAGTCTCTGGAATTGGGAAGCCGCCCTTGGGCCCCGTCCTGAGATCAGCCAGGAGCTCTGGGTGGAGCGCGGCCGCCAGGGAAGCAGGGGAGACACGACGCCCTTCCCAGCTGGCTGAGCACAGGAGCGACCCACAGGTACCAGGGTTTGCGGTGACTCAGAGACTATGTGCAGAAACGTACAGTAGCAAGAACAAATTCTGAAGGGGAGAGAAAGCGTTCGTTTTAAAAACAAAGTACAGGGCAGCCTGGGGAGTGATCCTGGAGACCTGGGATCGAGTCCCATGTCGGGCTCCCTGCATGGAGCCTGCTTCTCCCTCTGCCTGTGTCTCTGCCTCTCTCTCTGTGTTGCTCATGAATAAATAAAATCTTAAAAAATAAAAATAAAATAAAAACAAAGTACAAAGTAAAGGAGAAACGGCCACGAGTCATCTGTTTGCTGCAAGGACCCAGCACAGGGCACGGGGTCCGAAACTTCCACAGCTCCTCCGTGACTACGGCTCGGAGCGGCACACCGACTCACCCTCAAGTCGCACAGCGACGTAAGTGGGGTCGAAGTCAGGCCCGAGTCTTAGTCTAACTCTGCCACCAGAGGAGACACTCCATCTCCCCAGGACCCATGGCACACCAGCGCCAGACCGGATGTCTCTGGTGCTCTGCAGTCCAGGGAGAGCGGCCCAACTAAGACCGGGTGAGAGCACCCTGGCCATGCACACACCTCCCTCGGTGCAGAGCCAGCTCCTTTAAAGGACCTCCAAGCATCCCCTCACAGGTGAAAGTGGCCAGACACCCTGGGAACAAGCAAGCACCTCAGGGTTCCCATAAAACCCAATTTGCAAAATCAGGCAGGCGGACAACAGTTTTCTGACCACTGCTCTGAACGAAGCCTAGTCACTATGCAGTGGGCAGAAAGAGGAAGTGCTTTGCAGTGACAACCATTTCCTCTCTGGCTGCCCTCAGATGGCTGATGGGCCTGGGGGGGGCTGATGGACACAGCCCAGGGCCTGTGTCTGACGTCCCAAAGCAAGTTCTTCACACTCAAGGCAAGTCCCTTCCCAGGACTTTCTGACCTGGACTCACTGGCTGGTTCAGGTCCCAGGGCCGTCCAGTTAGGTGTTCTGTGAAGACGCAGCGTGGGCTCAGCCAGCAGCACCTGCTGTGCCAGGGGAGGGCAGGGGCCCCTCCCTCCACTCGGGTCTCAGACCAACCACGGCATGCGGTCAGGGCTAGGAACATGCTCAGAGCCACATCCTTGACCAAAGTGTGAAATGAAATGCGCCCAGTCTCGGGACGCCCACTCAGAGCCTCAGACGGGACGACCTGGCGCTCATGGGAGCCTGGGATGCTCTAAAGAATTCGGGAAGTTAGCCTCTCGCCTCCAATTTAGTTATACAGAACATATCTGCTCTTTCCACTCTAAGGAATCCCCACTTCTTTTGCCAAGTGACTTAAAAGTTTGTACTTCCACCCACATCCCTCATCACTTGGCCCTGTCTGTAAAATCTCTTCCACTATCTTCCCAATCCTGAAACTCTTGCCAACACCAAGTACACCCGGAGTGAGCACAGGCAAAAGCTGCAAGTGACATGTCATCAGAAACACTGTGGTCACCCCAACCCTCAAAGACCCATCTGATGCCACAGCGTCTGCAACCCGAAGCCTCCTGGCCCCGTCAAAGGACAAAAGCTCAGGTTTTCTCTGGGCCTGGCCCAGTGACAGAGACTGAACCTACCTCAAATCCTACTTAATCCCAGTGGTTTCCAACCACCAAGTAGCAGTATTTCCTGTTTCCCTTTTAACTCCTAAAGCATCTCCACACTGAAACAGGAGCTGATTCAGCTCTGAACAAACGCTAACCTGTTTTCAACAATGCCTAATGGGCCAGGTAGCGTGGACTACCAAGAGACTTAACCCAAATGAATCACACAGCAAGTATTCACAAAGCACTTCCGGGAAGGAGGATCATACCTGGCCCGCCCTTTACAAGAACCTGGGAGAAAGATGACCCAGACAGCAGAGGGGCAGCTGCTTGAAATGAATACCCCAGACACAGCCCCGCTGGAGGAAGCCCCAGGAGGAAGTGAGAATTCACACTTGGCCAGTCTATAGAGAACTGCCAGCGGGCCGGAGTGGGCCGGAGTCAGCACTGAGACCAAAGGGTAAGGATTTGGAGCCCAGAGTTGGTCACAGGCTCAAGCCCAGTGGCAGCCCTGCTCCCCATTCTCCCCAACAACCTGTCTGTCGCCTTCTTCAGAAAAGGTCCCATCAACTCCACCTCTCCCAGAGGTTTATGTGGTGTTTAAGAGCAAATTCCAGGCATTCTCCCAGTGAGTCCCAACCCAGCAGGTTCCTGCAAGGTTCCCATCTCCCCTTTGAATGTCCCCACCCAAACCTTATCCAAGCACCAGCTTGCTGCAGCCCAGGTGCTCAATGAACACGGGTCAAGTGCCCAGCAGGAACCCTGCACCAGGTCTGTGCTGATGTCCAGCCCTAGGGACAGCTGCCAGGTATGCTTTCATTCATTTTAACTATGCAGTAAGGGCTTCGAGGTTTTCACAAGTGAATCAACATCCTGTTTCTCTTCCATCATGTAATCACTGGCGTCCCACTCCTCCAAACACCCCTTCCCCTCCACCCTCAGCCTCCGGTTTCTTACTCAGGATCTAATTATCTAGGAGTGAACCTCTGGGATGTTCTTTCATCAGAATTGGTGGTGGTGGTGGTGGTGGGGGACCGAGAAGGATCCAGTATCTCACAAGCTGTTTCTCATCTGAAGTAAAGCATTCTCCCCTCCCATGATCCATGTGAACTCGCATTACTATTTCTGGTAAATTCCTGTTGCCTGTTACAAAACCTAACACTTACTATCAACTATCTTACGAGACAGAAACTGTATCTGCTGCGTTACATTCACGTTCTAAATTTCACTCTGACAATTTGGAACTCAAATGTGGGTAAGCACAGGACGACGGCGACAAAAGGCAACCATCACATGTGCGTTCTGGTGGGTTAATCACCTCCCCCAAAGGACTGTTACTGCGGTAGAGCAGAGTTTTAAGTCGTTTTGAGGCAGTTAGATAAAGGGATGAACTGCCTTAACCATGCAAGGTAGAGGTAACTGGCTTTGAATAAACTGTTTGTGACTTTGCGTCAAAATAAATAAATAAATAAACCCAATGGACAAGGACAATTTAAAATCTGATTCAACATACAAAGCAGGATCTCCTGAGTAGAAATCCAAGTGAACGAAGCACTGTGGCCCAGTGTTTTAAAACAAACCAACAGTAAAACATACCCGTCTGCTACAATGGGAGAATCAGGGCAAACAAAAGCCTACTTCTGCCCTGGAGAGGATGCCATGTTCTGGGAGGTCAGTCCCCCAAGAGTGGAGAGCTCAAGGGTGAGCGGAGACCCTGGTGTTGGGGCACCTCAGGAGCTCTGGCGACCCGATCCTAAGATCATGCATGCCACACCAAGGATGGTCTAAGTGGCCTTCCCGAACCTGGAGAGGGAGAGGAATCTTTCTGGGAAGACTGACTTGCACGCCTGGCAAGCGCTGAGCTGGAACGGAGCATCGCCAAGTGCAATTATGTACGCTCAACTGAGAAGCCCCAGGAAAGTTAGAAGGTTGCGAACTGCCTGGGATAAATACAGGGAACACGTACTCTCGCAGCAGAGCCCCGCCGGAGTTTCAATCCGGACGGATCCCCACCAGCTCCTCCTCCGCCACGCCAGCCTTACAAAGGTGATGATAATCCAGACCGTGTCCGTGAGGATCCGACCACAGTCACGAGCACTCAGTCACTCAAGAGGCGACCTGCACGCCGACCGGTCGGGAGGGCGGTGGGGTCGCTTCCCCAACGAGCTCTCCCGCCTCGTCGCTCCTCGCTGCCCCTTCGCACACGCACCCTTTGCTCAGCAGCACTGCCCTGCGGGCACGACAGGGCGCCAACTCTCCAAATGCAAGTCACCGGGGAACGCAGGTCACCGCGTCGCCCCCCCCCCCCCGCGAGGTCGGACGTGGGGAACGCGAGCAAACGAGAAGTGCGGGGACTCAGGGGCTGAGCGGCCCCCAAGGACCCGGGGCCCCGGGCGGGGGGGGAGGGGGAGGCGGCGCCCCTAGGCCGGGGGCCGGGGCTCTGGGGCTGCCCAGCCCGCCAGGACCCGGGGCCGCGGGGGGGGGGGAGGGGGAGGAGGCGCCCTCACGGGGGGGTCGGGGGCCGGGGCTGCGGAGCCCGCTCGGACCTGGGGCCGGGGAGCAGGAGGGTGAGGAGGGGGAGGAGGAGGAGGAGGCGGCGCCCCCAGGTCGGCGGCCGCGGCGCTCAGCCCGACGGCGCCCTCGAGTTCGGGCGCCAGCCGCTTCCCCGGCCCGGGACGCGCAGGCGGGCGGCCCTCACCTTGTCCGAGTCCAGGTCGGGGTCGGCCTGGCACAAACGGTACAGGAAGGATTTCGGGTCCCGGCACAGCGTCTGCCGGGTGGTGAGGAAGTAGGTGCCGCCGACGTTGAGTCGGACCCACTTGGACACGCCGCCGGGGCGCTGGGCCAGGGCGCCGAGCCCCGCGCTGCAGCGGCGGCACAGGCCGGCCCCCAGCCCCGCCCCGAGGCCGCCCGGGGCCGGCGGCAGCAGCTCGCAGTGATTCTCCGCCATGATCCCAGCAAGCCCCGCCACAGCTCCCCTCCACCGGAAGCGTCCGGCCTTTAATACCGTCCTCCGAGCTCCGTCCCGCCCACGGGTCCGCCCTCGTAAAGCGCCCGCCCTAGTGTCACGCGGCAGGCGGAAGTTCCGGTCCGGAAAGGCGGCCGCCCGAGCCCCCTTCCGGCCGGAGCCGAGCGTAGCGCTGGGCGGGGGTTCGCCGGCCTCGCCCCTCCGCCCTCCCCGCACGTGCGGCGCTCGGACGCTGGGTTCCGGGCCCGGAGTTCAGGTGGCGGCCGCGCCCGACCCCGCGCCCCGGGGCAAAGAAGAGCCGCGCCAGCCAGCGTCTACACTCTACATGCTCTTTATTACAAGACTACCGAGCATACGTGGAAAATTCATCATCCAGGAACTACATCTAAAGCACAAATATTTGAAAAAAAGAGAAGAAAACAGATTCATTAAATTATATGATTAAATCATTGACCGAATAGAAAATTTATATAATAAAGCCAGAAAAAAAAGTTGTAAAATATAGTTTACAATAATTATTCACATTCAAGGCTGTACATCAATACATACAACAACGTGGCCCCAAACATGAATTCAATCCAAATAATTCATATATTAGATTTTAAATAACACAGACTGAACTAGAGGCCAACAACAGCCGGCAAATAACCTTATATAAGAATAAAAATACAAAAGTGTATATCCTAGTATCATTGCATTATTTGTTTTCATAAGTTTAAAATTTTTGCTTTGCCTGTACATCACAGTTACAGCTACAGACCAGGTAGAGAATTTTACACATGTTCTGACTGCCACCAACCTGAAAGACAGCTAACACACTACTGATTCATCCTATTTTGTGTTAAGGAACAGCTACAGCAGCTCTAAATACTGCAAAAATTTATTTTTGTCAATGTCCAATCAAACTTCTGGTGAGGATAGAGGCTTTTCACCAGCAAAACGACCCCGATTCGGAAGTCATCCTGCTAGGCGGGTTGGACTAGGGTGGATCACACACCATAAAAAAGGTCTGCCTCGGGATCCCTGGGTGGCGCAGCGGTTTGGCGCCTGCCTTTGGCCCAGGGCGCGATCCTGGAGACCTAGGATCGAATCCCACATCGGGCTCCCGGTGCATGGAGCCTGCTTCTCCCTCTGCCTGTGTCTCTGCCTCTCTCTCTCTATCATAAATAAAAAAAAAAAAAAAAAAAAAAAAAAAAAAAAAGGTCTGCCTCTTGTAAAAAAAGTTCTCTGTACACAAAGTCTGGTGCTTCCTCATACTGAAGAAGTGGGTTCTGGGGACAATTCAGGTTTACGTGTGGCCTGTTCAGGTGCCCGTCGAGCTGTCTTCAGCTACAGACAGGCCCACTCTGTGGGCACAGCTCCGTTCTCCAGACCAGTGCTCCCAGGCAGCCCTGGGCCAGCAGCCTGCACCACCCCAGACACTTGGGGGGCAACTCCTGACTTAAGGCACTTGCCATGCAGGCCGCCTAAGAGGGAAGTGCCACACCCACTCGAGTCACCATCAGTTCCAGAGCTTTGGATGAAGGGAAAGTGGAAAAATGTACATGGCAACATCCCTAAGAACAGTACCTTCATCATACTCTGGCAAGGGAGTGAGCACCCTCAGTCTGCGGACCAGCCTGGGGGACAGGGGACCTGGGGTGTCAGAGGAGGGCAGGAAATCCAATTCTGCACAACCCAGCCAAAATCTCTGGCTCAAGTGTCTCTGTCACTCAAGTGACACTGAGCATGGCCCCTAATAAATCTCACACACCTCTCCCCTCACCATCAATGGACCCCAAACTCAAGTGAGAGATTAGGAATGAAACCAAATTGGGTGGTCTGGGTATGAAGACGGCCAGACAGCCTGCAACACGGTGAGGGAGGGCAGGGGAGAAGCCCTGAAACCCACGCGGGCCCGCACACTTACAGCCTACAGTGGAACGCAGAGCCGCGGAGACCTTCCTACTGAGTGCCACCACCTGAAGGGTTTGGGGGCAAATCAACTTCTGTAAAACCCAACTGCCTACATGGCCTCTTTTTCAAGGAGAGAATTTGCTCTTTTACTGATTCCAATGGCCCAATGGATTTTCTGAGTCTACAAACTTAATTACAAGTCATCCACTAAGCTTGTGGCAAGGTCAGTTCAACACTTTTTATCTCTGCTGCCCGTGCAGATGCAAATTCAGTACCATTGTGGACACAGTACAAGCTTCTGAAAATATCATTGAGCACTTGAAAGCCGTAGCAGCAGGGAGGGGAAGGTAAATAACATGCAAGCATAACCAGATTCTTTCAACAAAAATAAGGAAATTAGTTTTTGGAAAAAAAATCAGTCACAAATGGACTGCAATAAATGGTATCATTTTAGCATTATGAAAAAAATAGGAAGCAGTCTTATTAAAACATTCTTTGGAACACACACCTTACCAGAAACTGACTTGTTCAGAATCTGTAGGACACAACTTAGGTTCTGTACTGGAACTCTGAGCATCTAAGCATCATATCAAGACAGAGACTAATACCACCTTTAACACAAATACACTCTTTGACCCAAAAACACTACTTCTAGGAATGGGGGTGAGGGGCACAGAGATCAGAGTCTCAGAGTCAAAATCAAAGATTTATGAGGATATTCATCACAGCATTATTTAAATAGTGAAAAACCAAAAAACATCTAAATGTTTTACAACAGGGAAATGGTCAGATAAATTATGATAAAATTTATAACCATTAAGCTCTACAGTCACTAAAAAGAATGTTTTTGATCATTGTTCATGACGTGGAGAAATGCAGAAGATAAATAATTGAGTGAAACAAGCTACATGCAGAACACTATGTGTTTCACGTTCCCAATTTAGTTAAAAAAGCAAACAAATGTGTGCAGGGGTGGGCTATACACCAAAATGTTCACAGTGGTCTCTCCTGGGTGGTAAGCCTACAGTTGATATTCTCACAAATGTTTTAGAAAGTACAGAACCACCTGGAGCTCCTGTGCCGGCACCTTGCCCTGGGTGAGTCTGTGCCACAGGGCCATCTCCCGCAATCCCTACGGGCCTGGGCCACAAATACCACAGGGCAGTAGTGGGGGCCTGGGGTAGGGCGGGTTCAGAAGAGCAGGCACCCTGCAGTGCCACCAGCCCCCCCCCCCCCCCCCCCCCGTCCTGGTCAGGAAACCACCCCACCTGTGCCTGGCTCCCTGGGTTCCCAGAGAGGGGTGAGGTGTGGTGGGCCACCTGAGCCTGGGGAGCCACGCGGTGTGGGATTGGCCCTGCCTGGCGGGCCTGTGGTTTGGCACTTCACCTTGTCCTTGCCTTGCCTCAGTAAGACACATGGCTCCTGGGTCTGCTGAACAACAGGGCACTTTCTCCCCTTGGATGAATCACTTGTACTTCCACGTGTGCTGTGTACGCACTGGACTGACGGCCACAGCCACGTCTAAGAATGGGAGGCACCTGCATGCCAGGACAGCAGCTCTAAGGACAAGCTGGATAAAACTAAAGGTGACACGGACAAGCACGGGGCAGGAAGAGTATTATGTGCCTTAAAAAATAAAAAGGGAAAGGAGGCTCCAAGAGGAGAAAGATGGCCTAGGGAGGGCTCAGCTGTCGCCGGCTTGGGCAAGGGCAGTCCCTTCAGCTCTGTCGGCTGCCAGCTGAAGCCTGAGCCCCTCATTCTCTGGTTTCGGAGGTTAAGATGGAACTGGTGGGTGAAGCCTGGGAGGTAGTGGCGCTGTGCAGGGGGAAGAATGCAACGGAAGCTGCGTCCCTCCCAGAGCAGCTCAGCCGAGGGCTCCTGTTACAGCCCAACGCCAGCTCTGCTTGCCAGCTCTGCCCAGGTCCCTGTAACCAGATGCCAGGAAGAACACTGGGCAAGAGCAGGCCCCCAACTCTCCCAACTGCATGCCCACAGACGCCGGTGTTCTGAGAAAAGTAAACGTATCAACAACATGGGGAGTAAGCTGGAAACGACCTTCCTGAAGGCCTGCGAGACTTGTTGTTTGAAAAGCAGATGAACAGAGGCAAGTCTTTTCAAAAGCGAGGAGAAGAGGGGAGCTTGACCTATACCCCCGGCCCAGGACAGTGTCCCGCTCCCCAGGGTGTCCCAAGAGCATGCATACATGCTCGTTTGCTCACACGCAACTCTCACAGAGCAGTGCATGAGACCCCAGTGGAAGCCACCGGAAACCTGGCCCCACCTCTGCTCCTGTCCACCCTCACCACTCGCCCTGGGACCTCCACAGCCACACTTCCCTCCCAGGCTGACAAGGGTCACTCTTATCACTAAACCCATTTGACAAAGCATCTTTTCTTTCGATTTGGAGCACCTGTCAACACAGGGGGAGACGGATGGTTTGTTCGAAATAGGAGACGGGTGGCAGAGTCGTCAGGGGGAATCTTTCCCGTGTGAACCTTGTGCTGGTGCCTTCATGAAAGCCTGAAGGAAACCGCACAGTTGTTCATCCCCCAGAGGCAGAGAGACGTGCCTGTGAGGAACTTGCAAGCAGCGGTGCCTCCTTCCCTCCCACCCGGACTGCGGACTGCCCTCCAGGGACAACATGGGCAGGAAGAGGAACGCCGAGCCCCACCAGGCCCACAGCCATCCTATGTCCAGGGAGCAGCAAAGAAATCAAAGGACCGGTAAATCCTAGACCTGCTGCAGTATACAGCACTGTGCTGCCTCTGCAAGGTGAAAGGCAGGCAGCCTGAAAGTAGAGGGGGTGAGCGACCTGGATGCTCGGGCTCCAGTGTGGCGTTCCTACCCCTCGTGCAAGGTGAGCAACATTTTCTTCCCGGCAAGGTCCACATCTCGATGGAGATAAATGACCTGGCAGCATGAGAAGGTTTCCAGACTTTCACTGCGGAGACGTAAACGTGCTGGGAGACCACAGGCACCCGGAGTCCCTCAGCCCCAGCAAACTGCTCCGGGGTGGCGGGACCTGCACGTTCCACCCTCTAAGCACTCAAGAGGTGCTCACCAGGCAGCACGCCTCCACGTGGGGGATGCAGGCCCAGTCTGCCCTGCTGCCGGGGCCTCACACGGAGCAGGGCACCGCCTTATCTCCTAGCACAACCGGGTGCCCACCTTGGACAGTGCCTTTTCCAGGCCCGAGCTTGCTTTCTAGCTCTGCAAGACCACCCTGCTCAGAGGGAAGTTCAATCCCAAAGCCTGCTGGCACCCTCCAACCCCAGCAGCGGCCCGGTAGTGCACCCCAACAGCCCGCTCCATGTCTCCCCACCTGGAGCCTGCCTGATACATATAAGGCATGGAGTGTGCACAGCCACAGAGATCTCACAGCCAGAGCTATGCAAGAAGGTGAGCGAGGGGCCCTGGTGGGGCACAGGGGGCAGCAAGTAGGGACACAAGAAAAGGAGCACACAGACCAAAGCCAGGAACCCTCCCACCCCAAAAAGATGGATGCCACCCTCGGCAGAGGTGCACACAGCTCCCTGCCGACGGGTTCTGGAAGGCACATGCCCCTCCCCTCCGCCACAGGAGGACCAGCCGGCAGGTGACCAGGGCATGTGGTGCAGAGCTGGTGACTCAAGTCTGTTCCACTCGCCTGGGCAGGAATTAGGCAGACGTGCGTGGCGCTGGGTCCCCATGGCAAGGACAGCTTGGGGAGCCTCCACAGAGCACAGAGAGCAAGCAAAGCAACCCTGAATTCCTTTTCGTTATTGGTTTTGTTCTTTGTGTGGTTGGGTATTTTTTTCTTCTTTTCTTTTAAATAAAAAAGCTGCAAGGTTCCGCCGTCTGCGTCCCCCTTGAGATGGCTGGCAGGTGGTCTGGAAGCGTCCCGGAGGGCGGCGAGCCTCGCTGGGGCACGTGTCCTGGCAGCTAGTGCAGCAGCCGTGGACGTGTCACTGCACGGCGGCATCTGGGTGGCTCTGGTATCTGTGTCTCCACACTTCCTGGATCTTTTTGCACCATTTGTGAGCATTCCCACTCGGGTCCATCAGGTAATACGTCCTGTTCGGCTGTGGAGACAGAAATGGTTTAATGATCTTGGGGGCAAGGGGTGTCCCGCCAAGACCACCACCCTCTGGCGGTCACTGTGGGTACTTGCGGAAGCACACAAGCGTGTGTAGGCCTTATATGTGCAGGCAAGGACCTAGAGATCTCTGATCTCTTAAGTCACCCCTAAACTGACAAACAAGCACAAGTGACCCTGGCTCAGCTCAGGGGTGCACTGTGAGTGTGGAGCCCCCGGGACATGAGATAAGGGGGAGATAACTGCCTGTAGAGGAGAGCCCGCAGAGACAAACTCACCGTGTGCACGAAGAAGGTTTTAAAGTTCTTGGCCTCTGGTCGGAGTTCTTGTGACCATGGAATTTCACCCTTCAGGACTTTGTTGACAGGATCCACATAATACAAGTGTGGCCCTTCTGTGAGCAGTAACTGTCGTCGTCGTGCAAACAAGCCCTATGCAAAACAAAAGGACCCTGTCAGGACTCAGAAGTGGGTGCAGACAGCACCTACCGCTCCCTTGGAGGCCGGCCATCAGAGCAGCCCAGCATGGGGACCAGCGCCTGTCAACTCGCCTGGGACCTGGCCTCCTCCCATGGACCCGGCCTCTCAGATCAGAGAGGAGCAGAATGTAGCACCCAGCCTGCCGGGCCTTAGTGAGCTGGGTCCCAATGTCCCCACTGGGGTCTGTGTCCCTCCACTGCCACAGAGGGGAGCGGCAGCATAGGCAGGCAAACCCAAGCGCTTGGCCTAGCCTGCTGGGGACAGTGAGGGTACCACTCATGACCTCTGTTCCAGGGAGGTGGGGCCCAGGCAGCATGTGTATCCCGCCAGGAACAGAGGCCTGGGGCCTGAATTTAGAAGGGCCTGTGTTGGCAAAGGGAGAGCGTATGTGAATCTGATAGTTTTGACACAATTAATCCATAAAACATAACAAACAAATAACAATTTTCAAAAACAAGTCTAATGAAGTAAAAGACAACTTGCTAGGATATCAAAACCCCGGTCCCAAGCCAGAAATGAAAGAGTATATTTTTATTTTACCACAGCCTTCCTGTGTGGTTTCAAACAGCTTCCCCTGAGTGGCTCAAGCCTTCCTTAGCCGTCAAATCTAGAAATGATCTTTCAGAGAAAGGGAAGCAAGAGCAAGGATGCATGCATAGCAAGGTCAGCGGGCACCCGAGGTGGAAGGCCAGACCCTGAGGAGGCTGAGGGGAGGCGGACGTTTGGCAGGTGCTGGCGGGAGCTGACTTACCTTTCGCTTATCTACGGGACCCATCTTTAGTATTAAGTTATTTTCTACAAACTGGTGCCTATAAAAAGAAAGAAATAAGAGATACTCAAGTGAGTCGGGGACAGAAACTCTCCAAGTGAACTTCCTGAGGGCATCTGCGAGCCTTGCTCAAACCCCTCTTGTCACAGCCCTGACTCGCTCCAGGAACTCAGGAGGCCCCAAATTCATGGAGCATGCAGATGCCCACTGCTTTAGAGCATTCGGTCGTGGGGTGCGGACCAGAGTCGACACACGTGAGCACCGTCACCTGCTGCCACCTCTGGCTGGGCAGCATTTGCGCAGCAGTAGAAAGGCGGTGGCAAGGTGACACACATCCTTCTTGATTTGAACAAAGCTGGGATGAGCACAGAGCCCCTGAAAGTGCAGGGGCCGCTGAGAGTCAACCTCAGGACACAGACTGCTGGCCACATGCTACCCAAGCCTAGGCCCCCCAATCCAATGCTCAGAAACCACCAAGCAGCTGAGAATCAGGGGTCCCGGAAAGACCCATACTGGACTCGGTTTAAAAACACCTTCTTTGGTATTTTTACGACAGTAAGAGAGCACTCCTACTCAAATATGGCAGGAACTTGGAGGAGAAAGCTAGGAACACAGCTTGACTTCGTGTGTGGTTTTAGCAAGTATACTTCACTTTGACTCCTAGGAGTATAAAAGAGGTTGTTTTAATGTCTTCGGGTTCTTGCTTTTGGTTCAAATGAACAGTTACTAGTTTATACTCCGTCTGGCTTTACCGAATTCCCTAGTCTGAGGATCTACTGTAGAACACAATGTCTTATGTTTGCAAAGTCATAAGATAACTGTCGCCTCACACACACTCACACAAATGGTGACAGTTTACCACTTCAGTATCCGAGTGCAGCCACAGGGGACCCAGGGCGCATGCAAGAAGACTGGCTGAGCTGGTGAATTCTCCACTCAGCTCTCCTGGCCCTGGGGTCTGCCCAGGCTACCCCAGCCAGACCCCTGCCGGCTTCCAGAGCCCATGGAGGCCCCACCCTCAAGCACTCAGCCTACTTGTGAGTGGACATGGCAGCATATGGATTTTGAAAACTAAAAAGAATTTGAACAAAAACGTGCTATATGAGGAAAGGTACAATATCTCACTCTCAGAGGTACTTAAAAACCAAACCAACAAACAAGAACAAGATGTGAAACAAAGAGAAAAACATTCAGAAGATTTTTGAAAGGCAGATAGAACGATCTGCAGCACAGAAACAAACAGATCGCACAGAAAGCCTCTTCTAACCAAGCCCTACTGTGGAAGAGCTGGATGTGTAGTAAAGAACCACAAACTAATCATAAGGGGGAGACTTGAATTAAACTGTACTGAGGGCGGAGGGCTGGGGTGGGGCTCAATTTCAGCTCAGGCTTGTGAAAGATGCCACCGCCAAGCCCTCCCGGCAGTCGGGCCCCTCGGGCTGATGGCACCACAGCACCAGGAAAGCCTGGCAGACAGGTAAGGAAAGAAGAGGCCTCACGGTGTCTTTGCAGCCTCAAGTAGTCTGACATGAGAGACAGGATATGATATTAAATTAACAGGACATTCTGGTTTTCCCTGAGCTTGAGAAACCAGGGAAGATTTTTCTTGGACAGTTTACACGGAGTCCAGTTCACTGGCCGCCCCAAAGTGACCCAACTCCCAGCAAGGGAAGAGCTAGAAGAGGAAGGAGGAGTGACTTTCTAAGCAGCAGTCACGGCAGGAGGACAAAAAGCACCTCCAACTACAAAACCACCCCCATGAACAAGGAGGAGGCTGGAGAGGTCTTCCGCAAACACAGCCCACAGAGTTAACGTCTGCACACCGCAGAGCACATGCCAAGTGACAGGAAAGGCTTAAAGCTTCAACAGAAAACTGAGCAAAGTATACAAACTAGAAATTCCCCAAGAGGAAGTGATCCCAAAATTCTCAATGGCTCTCAGTAAACAAAACTGAGCCGCCCTTCTTGCATGCCCTACTGGGGTGCCCCAGTCCTCGCCTGCTCAGCACCAGCGCCTGTGGCCCTGAACTTATGACTCGCCGAAAAACAATCTGGAGATGATGTATTGAGAAGCAATCCCACTCCCAACAATCTATCCTCAGGAAGTAAAGAAAAATGAAGACTAGGGCACAAATATCTACAACAGTATTCTTTATACCAGCAAAACTGAAACCACAGCAATGGCTCAGCAGCAGAACATTCTGGCACTGCAGGGAAGAAGGCAAGCCCCTTTCCTGTCCCTGCAGGGAGGACCCCACTGACAGACCCCAGCCACACCGCGCACGGACCAGGAGGCCCTCAGTCCTGGTCACACACACATAAGCGCAGCCCCCACACTCTTCCCCGAGAGGCACGGCGGCTGCAGGGAGGCTACTGGTGTCCCGGATGGTGAAAGCCTAGCGGGGATTCCTGACTGGATCCAGTGGCTGGGGTAAAATAAACCGAGGCAAGATGCAGAGAGGCTCAAAGCTCCATTATTAGCACAAACACCACAATCCAGTCATGCAGTGCACTCACCGATTAGCTTACATAGGCTAATCACTTTGAATTTACTTCACTCCCCTGAAAATGCACCGCCCCTCCCCCCCCACCAGCCGCCTCTTCCTCGTTGGCAAGTGGTAGATGTCGTCTGAAGACTCTGAGCCAAAACCAGACCTGAGTCAGAGACTCTCAAGACTGTGGTTAGCAGGCAGGTCACCAAAGCCCCGCTTCACACACAGGCGACACTCACCATCAGCTCTATGCAGAAGTCCAAGTGGGCTTGCCCAGATGGGTGACAGTGTCGAGATATTCCTTCTTCCTGATTCCAAAGCCAGGGTTCTTTCCTCCTCACCCTATCCCACAAGCAAACCCCAGACCCCAAGATCATTCTGGAGGATGCAAGCCTGAGGCCATTTCAGAGCAGTCACTCCCAGGGGAGCCAAGCGAGGCTGCCAGAATGCCGATGTGGCTCTTCTGACCACCTCAGGAAGGCTCTCCACACTGGGCTTTGACACAGGTAAAGGAACAAGTGATTGGGGCCAGTTTGCTCTAAAACGCCAGCTCTCGGGACTCCTTTACATTCTTTAAACATTATGGAAGATCCCAAAGGGATTTCCTTTACTGGGATTATACCCACTGATATTCATGTGGAAGAAATTAAAATGGAGATATTTTCAAATATTTATTTAATTCATTAAAAATCAAAAACAGCCCCATAACATACTAATATAAATAACATTTTTATTCAAGAGTAACTTTTTTCCAAAACAAAGATAATTAATGTGAAGCATGACCCTGTTGTACATTTTGTAAATCTCCTAAACAGGTGGTTTCATAGAAGACAGCTGGGCACGCCTAGCGGCCTCCGCCATCACTCTGCGTGCTCTCCAGGCTGAAGCACAAGAAACCAGCCTCACTTGGGCAAGGAGCTAGAAAAGGGAGGAGTGCCTGTAAAAGCCTTTTCAGAGAGTGATGGGCATTCTTCTCTGATAACGCGCCCAAGCTCAACAAGTGGAGCTCCTTCACGGTCCACTGCCACACGGAATCTGAGTCCCCATGATGGATTTTTCACACTCCGGGACATTAAAATTCATCAGTCCACCTGGCACTTTGAATAGCTCTGTCACCCAGCAGTCACCCGGAAGATGGTGGTTTGCTGAGTCATGGAAATCCTCCCAATGCTGACAAACTTTGTTCCACGATTATCAACAAATCAACTTGTTGCCGTCACTATCTCTTCAAAAAGAGTCTTTAGTTGCTGGGAAGATGTCAAACTTACAGGGAGGGATAAAGTTTTCCAAAATCCTAATTTCAATTTTTATCACTGGTGACAAATACTGGCAGTTGTTTGTCTTAAAGTGACAGACTCATTCCACTCATTTTCCAGAAAAACTGGCCAAACAGCCAAGTCTGAATAACCAGTTTGCCAGTAAAACTCTACAGTGAAAACAGTCTTCCATGCAAAGAGCAGCTGGCCAGCTCCCAATGCCAGCACTTTACTTGAGATAACTCACATTTGGGTTGGCAGCAGAGATGCTTCCTGCACACTTTGCATTTCATTCAGACTACTAATAAAATCAGTAATTTTTCATGACCATTCCTCAGTGAGACCAGTTTCTTTTCTCCCGGTGCAGGGATGGCTGTGGTCTGTGAGATCCCAGGGGCTCCAGCAATGCTTGGTACCCCAAACTGGACTCATGATCTGGCACCTGTGGTTTACCCACCACTGCGTCTGTACCACCGGTGCACTGCTCAACACATTTGTTCCAGAACAAGCAGTGAGGCTCAAAAGAAGCACTTCAGGCAGACCCCATGCCTGAGGAGGTGCATGCAGCTGACACTGTCTGCTTTAAGCCACTCTTACAGTTGTCTCTCTCCTGGGCACAATGGTGATTCTAACAGAAAAACTGATTGCACCAGTTGCAGAAGAGGCAACCTTCCCAAGGTTGAGATCACTGTAGTAGGTGCTGGACAAGTTGGTATGGTATGTGCCATCAGCATTTTGGGAAAGTCTCTGACTGATGAAATTGCCCTTGTGGATGTTTTGGAAGATAAACTCAAAGGAGAAATGATGGGTCTGCAACATGGGAGCTTATTTCTTCAGACAGCTAAAACTGTGGCCGAGAGAGGTTACTCTGTGACTGTCGATTCCAGGGTTGTGGTGGTAACTGTGGCACATCTCCCCTCCCCACCCCCATAGAAAGGAGAGAGCTGACTCGGTCTGGTGCAAAGGAATGTCAGTGTCTTCAAATCCACTGTTCACGGTCCCAGGTGTGAGTGACTGTGGTTTCCAACCCAGTGGATAATTTCATATATGTGACCTGGAAACTAAGTGGACTACCCGAGCACCGTGTGATTGGAAGAGAGTGTAATCTGGATTCTCTTAGATTTCACTATCTCATGGCTGAAAAACTTGGCATTCATCCCAGCAGCTGCCATGGATGGATTCTGGGAGAACATGGCGACTCAAGAGTGGCTGTGTGGAGTGAATGTGGCAGGCGTTTCTGCTCAGGAACTGAATCCAGAAATGGTGATAGATGATGACAGTGAAAATTAGAAGGGAGTACATATGATGGTGGTTGAAAGTGCCTATGAGGCCATCAAACTAAAAGGACATACCAACGGCACTACTGGATTAATCATGGCTGATCTCACTGATCCATATTGAAACTCTATCCAGGATTCATCCTGGGACAACAATGGTGAAGGGAATTTGTGGCATGAGAAGGAAGTCTTCCTGAGCCATCTGTGTATTCTGAATGCCTGGGGATTAACCAGTGTGATCAACCAGAAGCTGAAGGATGATGAACCTGCTCAGCTCAAGAGACATGCAGACACCTCGAGGGACCTCCAGAAAGACCTAAAGGCCTGTGACTTCCAGCTTCTAGGCTGTAGAGATTTCAACACTACAGTGATTAACTGTGATCCTCTAGTTTTCATCCATATGCATGGACCGCAGTTCACTTTTCTCTTCCTAAATATGAGAATCTGGGCTCACAGACTTGAAGCCCACACTGTTCAATGCTTGCAGTATGACCCGTATCTGATTTATCTACTCAAGGCAAAAGTGCAACGTGGCCAGAGGGATGCCAACTCACTCCTAGTGTCTGCAGCCACGTCTTTACCTGGGGAGCTGCTGTGCCAGGGCCTGTGGCAGTGCCGGGGCTCCTTGCCTCGAATGTCACCTGGCAGGCACTCTGCCTTGTCAACAGCTCAACACTCCTTGGCCTCCAAGTTGTCACATGCACTTCGCCAGCCTGGACAACACAACTTCTCTGTAAGATGCCATAGCAGCTTTGTAAGTTTGGCTTTGAAAGAGGTCCTCATGTGTCCATGTACAATGAGCAATTCCTCTACTGTTAAAACTCTTTTGGCACTGCAGCTCCACCAGCACGGTAACAGTACGCGAAACCACCCCATTTCACAGGTGTGCATGGAGGCTCAGACATCCATGCTTCTGAGGGGCGGAGGGCCATGGCCTGGTGAGCTCCACACCTACAGTTCTGCCCAGGCTCCTGGGGCAGGCCCCTCCCTTCCATGTTGCAGGGTGCTCTCTGCCAGGCAGGGCTGCCTCCTCCTCACCCTCAGACATGGAGGGCAGGGGGGCAATGTGGGGAAAGCACATCTCTCTGAATCAATGATTCCCTACTTAAACTTGAAAATGTTATAAATGCCCTTTTATTTTAGAATATATCATTAAAGTCAACAGTAACAGTTTTGATAAAATTTAGAAATTCAGAAATCTTTATGTTTTATTGAAGAACAAGTCAGCAGAGTGTCCTGAGGTCCTGTGGTGAGTCCACGTAGGTCTAAGGAAACCTCTGGATCTCAAAGCAAGGATTTACCAGAAGACACCAAGTTACAGCAATCATAGCAGGTGTAACTGCAGACAGCTACTAAGAGCTCCGCAGAAATACTAAGAACTCACTACGTCTCTAAAGCTGCTCATACTTAGACGGTAAACCAACTCCTGCAGAAGATTCAAAACAGACAAAGCACACAGTCCAGGAGCCGCAGAACATCATCATCACTGGCCAGTGTGCAGTCTCTAAAGCAGTACACTGCATACTCAGGGAGAACAAGGGGAGAAAGCAAGTATCCTCTTCGTGTTATTCCACTATTATTATCACGCCCTGTGGGCCGTGCATGGAGAGTCATTGTTCTAAAGAACAAAGTGCTTGACATATCTTGCCCTGGTCAAATAAGAGATGCTGTGAGCTCTTGGAAATCACCAGCTCCCAAATAGGCCTGAACCTGGAGGAAAGGGAAGAGAAGCCAGAACAAAGAGAGGGAAGGCAAGGGGCCTTGATCCCACCCAGAATCCAGGCTGAAGGGCCTCAGCAAATGCCCTCAGCCAAGGCATACAGCCTTTTGGGGAGTTAGCCCATGGCTGCAGAGCAGGCCCTTCTTAGGGACCCCATCACACACAGGTCCAGGAAGCTTCTGCACGACTCTGTGCACAGACCTGCCTGGAGCACATGGCCTGGTGGTGCTCAAACCATTCTGACCAAAGCCCCTTGCTCCCTGCTCAGTGCACAATGATACTCCTATGTGATACCACTTTAGGAAGGATAAACTCCCAAGAAGTGTAGATATTCCAGTTGGCCAACATCTAATTGTACTTTTGCTAGAGATAATAATTTCAAATGGTACAGAATCCTGGCCTCATCACCCACTACTTCTCCTCTGCACCCTGCCTCCTCCTCCTCCTCCTCCAGCCTGGTTGCCTAGCCCAGCCCTCCAACCAGTTTGCTTCTCTCTCCAACCCTTTTCCTACCCCAACATACCTCCCCACTCACCCCTGTGACAGACTTCCCTCCACCTGTGAGTCAAAAGGGAAATCATAAAAACATGTAAAGAAGGTTGTCAGGGTAGACACACTCTTTTCAACATGACCAAGATGGAAAACAGAAAACAAAAACACAGACACGTTTGATTTTGTAAGAATTTGCAACTTCTACACAAAAATACACACAAAACCTCAAAATGTAAACTGAAGAAAAACATTTGTGAAATATACAACAAAAATGTTCTTCATATCCATGGCTCTTGGAGATGATTTCAAAAATATGGAAAATGTTACAAGTAGAAAAATAGTCAAAGGACACAAAGTACCTAAAAAGAGAAGTACAAACGGCCAATGAACACAGATGTTTGCCTCAACCAGAATACAAAAGCAAATTCACGTGAGTCCATTTTAGAGCATCAAAGTGCTTAAGGGGAGGCAAGAGTACTGGGAGCCAGGGGTTCTCCAGCACTGTGGACACAGAGCACTGGATCCTTACACATGCTCACCCTCACTCCACCTGCCAAGCCAGGGCTCCCCTTTACGAGAAACATCTAGGCAAGTGGGAAAACCTATGTGCGAAGGATGATCTGCAATAGTGAAAACTCTGGAATGCCCCCTTGCCTCATCAGGGGGTGGTGGTCATTTGGTCAGTGGTAAATCTACGTCAGAACACGGATGCCTGGAGGCCTGGCTCACTGAGCCCCAAGGGCTGCAGGCCTGAGAGTCTCAAACCCACTTATCCCCAGGCCCAATACTTACAAATTCCCACTTCAAGCTGGACCTTTTGAAGGTTCTTGTTTGCACAGCAAGGAACGTGTGAGGTGGCGCAGGGCCCTGGCAGGCAGTGGAGACAAAGGCCAGGTGCCCCGAGCTCTTGGTCTCCTGCTGCTCGGCTCCCACACACACCACTCTTTTAAATGGAGCACTGTTCATGTCTACGGGTTCTTACCAAGGGTTTCCACTGGCCTGCTTCTCCAGTAACAACCTCTTCTCATCTTCGGAGAACTCTAAGTCCAGTTCAAAAGAATTAGTGTCCAGATCATGGATATACTGCTCGATGTTGCTGCCCGCCATCTGCGGCAGGCCTGCGTCCGAGGCGGACAGGGAGTGGGAGGAGGAAGACGAAGACACCTGCATACAGCCAAACTGGCTCAGGAGGTTGTCGTACTGCACAGAGAAGAGGAAAGAGTGAGAGCCATGCCCGCTTTCCCTTGGGCCCCAGACCAGACCCAGCAAGCTCACACCCTGCAGGTCCCGAGGCGCCTGTGGCCGCTCTGACTCCTCCTGCACCAGATCGTGGGCCACTGAACCAAGCAGGGCTGGGTGCTTCCAGGTCAGGTCTCCCTCCTGATGGCTTGACCCTCAGTCGTCATTTCCAGGAAGGGGAGACCCAGGGCCTGGGGCCTGCTGCCTAAGAAGGAAGAGGAAGGACGAGCAGCCTTGTGAGCTCAGGAGCCTTCCTCCTTGGCCCTGTGATTCCATGTTTTCTAAGTCTGTGGTTGTCACTATATATTTCAATTTGATTACGATCAATTTTTTTTTTAAGTATCCCTTTAACGATAGCAAATACTAATTAAGCTTGACACAGTTGCCTACTCTTCTGGGGAAACTATAAACAGTGGTAATACAAAAACTGATTTACTCACAAATGCTCCACATAGGCAGAGCCTGTGCACTCAGACACCCTTAGAGCTGGTGATGGGGCCAGAGAGCTCCCATCAAAGACCTGAGGAGGAGTGGTTGCCCTCAACAGTCTAGTCCCCTAGCTGCAGGTCCCACGCCTGAACTCCACTGCAGCCAAACTCCACTCCAAGGGAAAACAAGCCACGAGCAATCACTGAAACCAGAGTCTGTGTGTCCTTCCAAGTCTCCTGTGCCTCCAGAAAGGCTCTGGCCTCCACCCTTGGAGGGGGGCCCTAGACCTGTCCGTCATTCCTCTCCACCCCCCACCCCCACCCCCCCGATCCTGCTCCTGCCCTCCTCACTCACTGCCAGGAGTGGCCTTCTCACTAGTGTTCACACAGCACAGACAGCAGGCTCAGCGCCACCTCACTGGCTCCTCGCTGGGACTGACCCTGGTCACTCCCATGGCCCCTCATCTAAGACCTTCTGGCACAGTCTCTGCTTCTGCTTTGTGAGGACTCTCTGGGCCAAGGCCACCTCTGTTCAACATCCCAAAGTTTACACAAGCTTCCATGAGCTGTCCCCTCATCCTGGCCCCAGGTGTCCCACGGGGCTGTAAGGCCAGTGAGATGGATGTCTCCATCACCTTCATTTCGAAAACAGGGAAACTGAGGCTCAGAACTGCCCCCAAGACCCCAGCCTGCTAGCTAGCCCCGAATTAGGACCAGTCCTCTATGTCTTTTCCAATATAGCAGCTGCCCTGCTCTGGTCTCAGAGCTGTTGGCTTCCCACCACCGCCACCGTCGGCTGGGCAATTCCTGTCTTGGGGGCTACACTGCACTGCGCCCCACGGAAAGCTCCAGATATTGGATCTTGGCTCTCTGCTCTTCAGCAGCAACTGGGATGACCTGCAGAACAAAGTGTAGGCCCAGAAAGAATGTGTGACAAGGGGTGACACTGCCAGTGTGCATCAGGCAACCCTACATGCTGCTGCAGGACCAGGCTTTCCGTGAGGGCACCACACCTGGCATTACTCTGGGGTCCAACCACCAGCACCACCACCAGCCACAGCAGGGGATTAGGAATACCTGAGAAAATCAAGTGCCCACTCTCTTCATTCCCTGAGCAAGACCATTTTGTTTCTTGCCCCCAGATGGAGACCCCTTCCTGCTAAAAAGGACCCTGGACTCTCTCAGGGCCTCACAGATAAGAAGATGCCCTCATAGACCGTCAACATGCACTGGACAGGAGTGCCCCCTCCTGTATCTGATACCCTCCCAGTTCAGGGCTCATTTTACTGTCCAAATGGAGAGTCTGGCATAGCGAGCGCTGCCTGAATACCGTCCAAGGCTTTCAAACCACTCAGCTTTGAAAGCTGAGGATGAGCCATCTAACAGGAAGCCATTAACAAATGGAGCTGGTTTTACGATGGCTACACTTGAGTAACTGAGAAGCCAGGGCTCTCAGTGCAGTGAACAGGACGAATCAGCAGGCAGAGGGCCTGCAAGAGACACTTGACCGTGTGTGCACACGGCTCCATGAAGCCGAGCCCCCTGGGTACCGAGGCCTGGGACGAGGATGGCAGGAGAGGCTGCTGTAGAGCCGGCAGGCGGAGCAAGCTGCTTCCTGGGGAGGCCCCAGCCCACCCGCGCCCACCTGCCGCGACTCAGGAAGGCCGTGAGGACCCGGGGACCGCCGAGGTGGGGGAAGCAGGTCAGCGGTAAGCACAGATGGCTTTCCACATCTGGCTTCCTTCAAGTCTGGACACAAAAGATATTCTAGGACAACAAAAGGGGGGACGTGTTACAACAGTTAAGTATGGGACGGAAGAAACTTGGTCTCTAAGAGGTGATACCAGCAGTCATTTTAACTAAGCTTTGGATGAGTTTTAGGTATAATCTAGAATTCCCTAGTCAACTAAAGTGGCACCCCCGACAGGGTAACTAGTTAGAATAAGGCCTGATGACAAGTTAAACCAAGAGAACGGACTATTGATGGTAACAGAAGCATGGGAAATCATCTTTAAACAGGAGGGCTCATGGTGGAGGGTGAGGAGAAAGCACAGACCTGCCCAGGAGGTGGTCACTGACTGTGTGACGTGGGCGCATCGCAGCTCACTGCACCCCCCTGACCTCTTCTGAGTGCTCATCCTCCGTAAGGAAAACTCAAAGTTAAGACTCCAGCCTCCACCAGGCACCAAAAGCCATATGTGACCAGGGGCCATCCTTGAGGCCATATCCCTCAAGTTCAAAGTAGCAGCACCCTGGGCTTCTCTAAGACATTCCAGAATGTCTTTAGACAAAGATTACAAGGCACTATCTAAAAGCAGAAGACAGAAGCCCAGGGGGACAGTATGGAGGGGGCTGCTCCCACTGGCTCCAGTCCCCCCAACCCAACGTCAGGCTCCCTCTGGGTGCACATTAACTACAGGGAATAAGAAAAGGAGACCACCCTTACCCCCCAAGCCTGACAATGTGCACTTGGGGCAGATGTGTAGGTGGAAGCCTCATCCGTCCCAGTGATGGGGAGATTCGGAGGCTGCAAAGTGCTCAACCACCCACAGGTCTACGATGGCCTCCGCTCCAGCCACACATCCATTAGCTGGGCTCCCAAGGCCCGTGGCACTAACTCCCTGTGCACAGAGGAACAGTAGCACACGGCACCACTGGGCTGTTCCTGACACACAACCCTACACCCACATGCATGATGCATGCATGCACATACCCAGACACACATGCACATAAGTACGCACATCACACTCATACACATCGTGTGTGTACACATACAGATGCACACATGTTACATATATCACACTCATGGACACAGATGAACACTCACTACACCCCCCACACACCCTCCACATTCATACACACTCATGCGCAGGCACATGCCAGCTGGCTTACGTTTCCGTAGCAGTCCTCATCATCCTCCGACATCGCTGGCAGGTAGGCAGTGAGTTTCGGAGGCGTCTGATGCTGCAGGTTCTCCCACGTGATGGACTCGAAGAATGGATGAGCTCGCAGGGGGCTGTACCCTCCCATTTCCTCACAGCCTAATCGCTTCGTGGCATCTAAAACCTGAGACAGAGCAGAAGTCAACGCAAGTCAGTGTCCACATCGAAAAGTAATTCTGACAACGACATTCTTTGTGAGTACTCCTTTTCAATTCTTCTCATCTCACACAAAGGAGGGCACTATGGCCTATCCCCCCACCCTTCACAGTGTGCTGGGGACAGCAGAGTCACCTCTGGGGCTACGTTCACCTCTCTCAAGCTTCTATCTGTCCACTCACACAGGTGAAAACAACTCAAAATTTAATGAATAGCAACAAGTGTTCTCTTAAAAAATACGTAAGTCGTACAAGAAAAGAATGAACGTACTGGTTTTAATAACAAGGAGACCAAGATAATTGTGTAGACGGCAAGCTACCATGGACAGAGAACAAAATGCTGTGTTCTCCCACCCGTGCTTCCTCTCAAAGGGCACCATCCCCGCCCCCTCCGATCTTCAGCTGCACGCCCCCAGACCCACCAAGCCCCCAGACCCACCGAGCAGCAACAGGCTGCCGGCTGACAGGACAGGCATGGGGTGGGGGGGAAGAGTCCGAGACAGGACAGGCCCTGCTCCCCAGGACCAAGGGAGGGCAGGGACACTGCAGCTGCTAGACACAAACACACACACCTTTCCTGGGTCAATCTGCTGACCTCTACTACAGAACCCAGGCGATCTTTAAAACCTTCCTGTAGCAGACTCTGAGGTCGGCATTCACATACATCACCACGTAGGATTTCAGAAATATGCCACTGCAGTACAGCCAGTTGCTCCAACAAGTAACTTAAAATGCTATGTATATCGAACAAATGCAAATGATACAATGATTTCCTATGTTATGAAAGCAAGAATCAGGCATTTGGAAATTGAAAAGGGTTCACAGGGACGCCTGGGAGCTCAGCAGTTGAGCATCTGCCTTTGGCTCAGGGCATGACCCTGGAGTCCCTGGATCGAGTCCCACATCAGGCTCCCTGCACGGAGTCTGCTTCTCCCTCTGCCTGTGTCTCTGCCTCTCTCTCTCTGGTCTCTCATGAGTAAATAAATAGAATCTTAAAAAAAAAAAAAAGGGTTTACAGAGATCAGATAGAAGATACAAATCTACCTACAAGCACAAGCAACCCAAGGACACGCTGCTGTGAAACACAGGGGCCTCTGGGAAAGAAGCTGCTCTGACCCAGTTCAGAGGGACTCGGGGTGTGGCTATCAGATCATCTTATCAGAAGAAAATTCAAAATATTTACCAAAAGTTTTTCCACAAGGTCTCTTGCCTTAGGGAAGAATTTTTCAGGAAAGTCATACTCCAACTTAATGATCTTCTGAAATATAAGATATTCATTTCTGTAAAACAAGAAAAGCCATCACTTTGGCAGAGTACACGAACGTCCCCAGCACAGGGCCTTACGCCTCCTGGGCCAGCAGCCTCCCTCTCCCGCTGCGGAGACACCATGGTCGAGGTCCCTACACCCGGCCCCAGCCCCTGCCCCCTCCCAGCTCTCCAGCAGCTGCTGCGGTGGGCCTGGGGGCCGTGGGTGATCTTACCCTGCTCGAAAAGGCGGCAGTCCTGCCACGAGCTGGTATATTATACATCCGAGAGCCCAAAGGTCTGAACTTTAAGGGAGTGGAAAACAAACAAGAATGACATTTGTAAAATTTCCGTGACAAGCACAGTTCATTCTGCCCTCTCGGTTCTTGCTGCCCCTTTTCAGCCTCTGATCTACTTCCCTCCTTTGAGATCAGGTCAGTGTGAGAGTGGGGACCAGAACTCCAAGGGTCCCACACAGAGGGACACCATGGGCCAGGCCGTGCAGCCATTCCCACAGACCCACCACCTCCAGTGGGGGCTACCCACTTCCTCACAGGGCCAGCGTGACCTGGGCAGGGGGCAGAGGTCACTCCTGACTACAGGAGACACCCGCACTGACAGAGAAGCACCTTCCCCAGCTCCGGGCGGTACTGGGAAGGGAGCCCGAGGCAGCCACTGCAGGTCGGTAGAGCTAGGAATTAATTTAGGTTTTCCCATAACTCACTTAGCATTCACCCCAGGACACAGACACAAGCTCATGGGCACCAACAAGCCAAATGACACAATCCTTAGGAGTGCACAGAGCAAGCTTTAACTCCTGCCCTTCTTGAACTGGCTGTGAAAAAGCTCTACCTCTCCTTTATAAACATTTTAATTCCCCATTTTAAAAGAAACAGGTCTACACTCCCCAAGGTTGTTCCCAGAACCAGCTAGCGGAGACCCTGGAAGGGGTGCTCTCCTCACCCGGATGTTGCTGCCTGGCTCACGCTCACCCCTCTGCACCTTCTCAGAGCTCCCAGCTGACATCTACCTTGTGTATTTTAGTTCCTCTAAAAGTTCTGCATTCTATTCCCAGCTCAGCACTACAGAAACATCCACACGACACTGGTCCTGCACCACCAGCCATCTCCCTGCCGAACCCTAAACATACATGGGCCCATCGGCTGCTGGATACAACCAGTTACTACAAGAGGCCCCAGTCAGGTATTCCAGGAGATTGGACCATAGGATGGGTGTGGAAGGGTCAGACCAGCAGCAGTGCCGGGGGGGGGGGGGGGCAGAAAGGGCACTTGACATGGGTTAAAACAGACAACAGATCAAAAATCTGAGGCACGACATACAGGTGGAGTGAAGGGCATTAAAAAACGTAACCTACATTCTACCTACTAACTAGTTTTACACTTGGTTTTCTCTATTATCTAGTCTAGCGAAAACGGGGAGCCACACAAGACAGAAGCCAAAAGAAAAGCTTCGGCCCTTCAGAGCAGCAGCAGCCAGAGACTACGCGGGAGGCTATTGGCAGGCTGCCACCTCCAGCAAGTGGGACTGTCACCACTGCCAGCCCCTGGGTTCTGGTCACCTCTGTGCACTGTCTGAATGTTTATCATCAGTAGCTCTCCTACCATTTAAAATGACTTTTTAATACAATAAAAACTAAAGAGGGAAGCTGGTGTAACATTTCTGGAAAGCACTAAGTACGAAGGATTTTTAAAATGGTAAGTTAGATCAAGTCATTCCACTTCTTGAAATCCAAAGAAGACTGTGAGGCAGCCCCAGCACTCCTGGCAGACTCAGGACAGGCAGGGGTGCCCTTCCGGGTAAGGGATGTGCGGCACATGGCTGTCACACCAGATTGCACCACGTAAATGAAGGAAAAGCACCTGAGTGCCAATAAAAAAGGAAGGGCTCAATGAACTACAGAAAATCCACGTGCCAGAAGCACACAGCTGTTAGGTCTACAGAGGACTTCAGGGAGATGGGGAGATGCTTGCTCCACAATCCCAAGGAACAGGGCTCAAATCTGGTTGTTCATCATAACTCCAGCTGAACAGAAGTCACATGAACACACAGAAGATACACTAGAAATAACTGGAAAGACATGCCAGGTCACTATCTAGTGTCTGTAAGTGGGCTGAAGACTCTGAGTGTTTCTTGCCCTTTTATCCTCCATGTTTTCTAAAAATTCTTTATAAAACACAGGTGTCAGTTTTAGAATCAGAAAATACACCTTAACTATTTTTGAATAAATATCACCACTTAAACCTTTAGAAGCATAAAAAGATACACAATGATGTCTCCCTCACAGCGCTATCCCATGCCCCTGGATGGCCACTGTCCCCACGGTTGGCGCAGCCAAGAGAGCTTAAATGACAAAGTGAATGTGGGCAGACATTCTCTTTCTAGTTTTCTTTTTTTTTTCTTTTTTCTTTTTTTCTTTTCCTTCTTTCTAGTTTTCACGCAGAAGGCAGTCACTCTATGTCTTCCAATCTCACCCAGTAGAGCCTGGAGGCCTTTCCATCATTGCTAAAGGGCTGCTTCATCCTAAAAGCCCCAAATCTAGGAAAAGCTAGCCCGTAGGCAGCCGTGACATATGCTTGGAGAATCTGGCCCGCAGCACTCACCTGGGGCCAATTCACTCTTGCTGGGAGAGCTGTGTCTGCACTGCACGATGCTGAGCAGCATCCCCGGCTTCCACCCACTAGACGTCAATAGCACTCCCTCCCCACTCTTGCCAAGCTGTGATACCAAAATTGTCCAGAAAGGGCCAAATGTGCCCTGAGGGGCAGAACTGCCCCAGCTAAGAAGCCCCGCCCTACAATATCTGGTCATGGTAAGAGTCAGAATCTGTTGACTGAGTAAGATTAGGAAAGTGGCCCCTTGCAGCCTGTCAGTGTAGGATGCTGATGGCGCGGCCCTCAGTCAACTGATGGCGCCCCCTGTCCCCCAGCAACAAGGATCCGGGGAGAAGCTCCGGCCACAGAACTTGCTGTCATCTGGAATACCTCTCCTCACTGACACCCCAGACTCTACTGCCGCCTCTGTCTTTCGCCTGCCTCAGGTCCACCCGAGACTGCTTCCCCAATTTCTCCCATCAGCATCCCCGCCCCCAGACCCCAATGCCCAACTGCATCGCTGTCGGCTCTTCCCTCTCCAGACCTCTATTCTTGTGGGCAGAACCTCATCTATGCACCTGTCACTTTCAGAACTAGGTCCCCACCTAGGCCATTAACCTGTGGCTCCCAATGGCCGGCCCTGGCTAGGAAACCAGCTCCACCCCCTCCCACAGGTTGCCTTCTGGGCCTCTCCCCACACTTGGCAGAGCTTGTTTTGCTGGAGTTGACCTGTGGCCGCTGCCACTGTGCACCAGCCCAAGGCAGTGCTAAAGATCCTAGGGCTGAGAGCCACACTTTCCCCCACTGAATAGTTGCTCCTAAAGGAACAAGATCAAATCTCAAAGCATCAGCAGAGACAGCCCCAGGAAGTATAACAATAAAGTAGCAGCCAGGTTATCAAAGAAAGATAATGATAAAGGCCATAAAAAGCACTCTCTTAACTATTAACTTTACATCAAAGAATGGATGCAATAGCTACTGTAGGGAAAAAATATTTTGGATCAGATGAAAGTGAGTTACCTTTTACAGGCCGATTTCTCTGTGAGCAGCTCTGGAGACACATACTGGGCTGTTCCGACAAACGAGTTGGCCCTGGCTGAGGAGAAGAGGGAAAAACAAGAAAGGTCATAGTGAGACACAAGCATTTATAGACACTGCACTGTGGATGCTCATCCATAAGGATGTCACGGTTCATGTGGGCATAAGTGGAGCTCTTTGTCATAGCACTGGTCCCCTGGAACCAGACTGTCCATTCCTGAGAGCCTGACTTGTCCACGGCCCTCTCCTCCAGCCCCCTTCTTGGTACTCTCTCCTCTAAGGGCTGGCTCAAAGGACATCTACTCTGTGACACCAGGCCTGACTGCCAGGGCAGTCCTCCCAGGCCACCCCACTGCATATCATCTGGGTGCCTCTCACAGGCACACTAGAGTGGCACCCACCCAGTCTCTGTTACCTAGGAGCATCTTGAAGACAGGGGGCCCGTCTATTTGGTTCACTACTGGACCTTTGGTCCCTAAAACAGCCCCACACTCACAGCAGGCACAGATGGGACACAGGTAGATATGGGCATGAACTGGACCTCCTGCAGGCTACGCACCCCCAACAAACAGCTTACAGAGGTTAGGGGTGACAATGAGAGGGAGACCCAGGAGTTCTGGCCAGGGAACCTCTTAACACCCCGCCGCCTATATCACAGGGCTGTTCAACACCAGATCTACTGAGCTCAACGCACAGACTCCTAGGGTCAGTGGCAGCAGGACTCTCTGGACTCATCCATCACAAAAGAGAACGCAGCAACCCTTGTGTCACGGAAGTGGCCCTCAAGGAGTTCAGGGACTCACTGGCAGCTGAGCGGCCCACAATGCATGGCACCATGGACACAAGCCAGCCTGCTCCACTATACTGCTCTTGAGGTATCCCCAAGGGGCGTCCTCTAACACAGTGGATAGCACAGCCAAAGGATCAGGACTCCCATGTGACAGCTCCCCACTACCTGAGAGCAAAATGCTTCTCCTAGGAACATGTGAAACGCTGTGTCGCCTCCGATGCTTCTCTGGAGATGCCCCACATCACTTGCCGCAACCCGCCATGAGCGGCCTTACACACCGGCCCCACATAAAGAGCACTCTGTACATGGCACCGAACAGCTGTTGACAAGGCTCTGGTCCTGCTCAGACAGGCCCACAGAGACCACCACCTTCCCCAGTAGCAGGTCCTGGCATGGCCCCCCCATGTGCTGTCCTAGCACCCCACAGCAGACAGGAGACCTAACACCATGGATTAACATCACTGTGCTCTGGGCAAACAAACGCTGTGACTTAGCATGACTTTTTCACAGATCAAATGGTCCTTTTTCTCAGTATCTTTAACAACCATGTTAGAAAGTATCTGTCCAAAAAAAAAAAAAAAAGTCTCTGTCCTAAGGACACATTTTCCTGAACCAACCTGAGAAGTCAAACATGATACCAATATACCTACCAGCCAATGGTCTCCAGCCCTCCAGGCCACTTTTGAAACCAGGGATACAGAAAGCAGTGACCAGTCCCATGCAGGGTCCTGACAAGGCCCAGGGGACATGTGGCAATGCTGGGAAATATTTCTAGCTGGCACAGCAGGGCCAGGAGGAAGCTCCAGTTACTGGGGGGAGAGACACCAGGGGTGCAGCTAAGCATCCCACAGGACAGCAAACTGCAGGAGTTCTCAGCCTATAGATCCCCAGACCCTGGGTGGCCTCTGTGCAGCCTCACAGGGACAGTGCTCTCCTACCTTCTGAAGATACAGCTCTCACTAGAGCAGGAGGAGCCAGCTCAAGTCTGGAAGGTTCTGGAGAAGGGGGAGCATGGAAGGGAGAAGGCTGAAAGTGCCTTCATCCCTCCTACTCTGGTGCACGTGTGTTCCATCAATGGAAGTGGCCTTCCCCTTCTGCACTAACTGGAGGCTCTGTCCTGGGCACCTCAGCTTGGTCCTGACAGAGCGATGACTTGGGGTTACAGCTACCGGGGACAAAATGCAACAGGTCTATGTTTCATCTGCCTAATAAAATCTTGACAGTGGATGGCTATAAATAGCACAACACCTGAACTAAAGCCCAAAAGGAAACCAAGACCCCAGCCACACCAATGCAGCACATGGTTGGTCTGGGGCTAGAGGCGCCCATGGTCATGGTGGCCGTCACATCCTCATTCAGCATCCCTGGGGGTGCCTTACAGCTGCAGGGGCTCATCATGGCGGAGACTTCCTGACTGCTGGTCCAAAGGTTCCTAAGGGCAGATGCCCAGAAAGAAGACTCTAAGTGTGCTGGCTCTTCCCCACCTGTCCTCCTCAGTGTTCTACACGGGGCAGCCTGTGTCCTACAGACCTGGAGCCAGCGGGAGCCCCTCTGCAGAGGGAGGCAGGGGAGAGCAATGGGTGTCACTCTTTCCCCGCACGGCTCTCCCACCACAATGTCCCCACCCCCACACTCCCCCAATGCTCCTGCCTCCAGAGGCTAACAGGGGATCCAGCACAATTGCTGGAGAGCTGGCTGAGGGGCCTTGCTCTCTGTAATGGTCCCTTCAGTAAGTTATTTTCCTGTAAAGACTTTGTGGCCGCATTTGCATCCTGCCAGGACCCTGAGCTATATACTGCCAAGAACACTGAGGTGATTCATAAGAGGAAAAAAGAAACTGAGAGCCAAAACCAAGAGAAACCACTTAAAGATGCAATGAATCAAAGAAATGCAAATGAAAACATGATGGCCTATCAAATCAGCAGAGATAAAAAAGGAAATACACACTGTTGGCAAAGATTTAAGCAGACACATACACTACTAGTGGTGGGGATATGCAATGGTGTAATTTTCAGGGGAGCAATTTTCCCATAAGCATCAAAATCCATAGAGAACACACTTGCCATCTGAGCCAGCAATTCTATCCCTGGCACCTGGTCCTCAAGGATGGATCCAGCACGGGCAGGAGGACAACATGGACCCGATGGCCCCAAGAGCCCCACTTGGTTAATTCACTGCCTCTACTGGTTTCCATTCTGCGTAGTAATCATGTGTTGCTTCTGTGATTTGTTTATAAATGTTATTATTAAAAAGTTCTAAAAACATATTTTTGGGGGTGCCTGGGTGGGTCAGTTGATTAAGCATCTGCCTTCAGCTCAGGTTATGATCTCAAGGTCCTGGAATTAAGCCCGTGTCAGGCTCCCTGGGAGTTTGCCTCTCCTTCTCCCTCTGCCCCTCCCTGCTTGTTCTCGCTCAAATAAATAAATCTTTTTTAAAAAAATCACATTTTTGTATGGAAATATGTATATTATGATGTATGTATATTATACATAATTAAATAATTCAGGCTACCAAACAGTATATAGGTGTGTGTGTGCCTTTAAATAGCTACATGGTGCACAAAACAAAGTCCAAAAGATCTACACCATTCCCACCCCTGCCACGGCTGGGCTTTAAACAGTGAATCATGATGTCGTTAGGGCTGTGTGGTTGCTGCAGGCTTTCTGGGCCAGTCTCCCATGACACCTGCTGCGTCCTCTCACCCAGGAGCCTGTGCCCACCTTCTCAGATGTGGGACACCGAGTCGAGGCCCCAGAGAGGTACGAAGATACCTGAGGAGAGGAGTTCTTGTCATGAGACGAAGGACCCCTCTGGCATGTGGAAATGAACAGGACTGCCCTCAGAGTGATGCTTTAAAGGCATAAAATATGCAGGATGACAAAGGACAAAAGAACCAAAATACTAAAGTAGTGACAGTGTGATGTAATAGTACGTGATTTTTATTGATGCAATAATAAGATCTGGCAGGTCTAACAATATGGTGATTCTGAAGCAGCAATGGGTACACACAACAGATCAAGAGTTGTGAGAACTGTGGAGGTGCCTAGTTGGCCCAGGTGGCTGGCTGAGTGTCTGACTCTTGGTTTCAGCTCAGGTCATGGTCTCAGGGTTGTGAGATGCAGCTAGCAGCAGGCTCCGTGCTCAGCAGGGAGTCTGCTTGAAGATTCTCCTTCTGTCCCTCCCCCAACTCGTGCAAGTGCCAGGGAGGAAGGAGGGCCCTCCAGAAGTGTTCCTGAGGTCAGAGGACACTTCTACTCTCTTCAAAGCTGGAAGCACAAACTGCTACTGCCTTACCCATAAGCCCGCAAGTGAAGCACAGCAAACTCCACAAAATGGGCTAGGACAAAAGATGAGCAAACTGAATACAGCAACACATAAAAAGGAGTATGCACCATGACCAAGTGGTTTTTATCCCAGAATGCCTGGGTGGTTTAGTACATAAAAATCCATCAATATACTACATATTATTAGAACAAATGGGAAAAAACCCACGTGATCTCAATAGATTCAGAAATGCATATAATAAAAATTCAATACTCCTTTATGACAAAAATGTCACAAATTAGGAACAGAAAGGAACCTCCTCAACTTGATCAAGGAGTTTATGAAAGCCTCATAGCAAGCGTCCCACTTGATGTGAGAGACTGAAGCTTCTCTCCTAAGATCAGAAACAAGACAAGGATGCCTGCTGTGGCCACTCCCATTCCACACCATCCTGGAGGTCCTACCAGGGCAGGCAGGCAAGAAGAGATCAAAGGTGGGAGCCTGGGTGGCTCAGTGGTTGAGCGTCCGCCTTGGCTCAGGTTGTGATCCTGGAGTCCCCAGATCAAGTCCCACGTCAGGCTCCCTGCATGGAGCCTCCTTCTCCCTCTGCCTGTGTCTCTGCCTCTTTCTCTGTGTTTTTCATGAATAAATAAATAAAATCTTAAAAAAAAAATCTTAAGACAGAATAATATTCTGTGAGAAACGACCAAACACTGTTTACCCGTTTGTGTGATCAACTAATGGACAGCTGAGTTGTTTCCACTTTCAGCTATCATATATAAAGCTGCTCTAAACATTCCTGTACCCCTTTTTTTGTGAACACGTTTTCAGTTCTCTTGGATCTGCACCTGGAAGTAGAACTGCTGAATTATACAGTAACTATGGGTAACCTTTTGAGGAACTGCCAGCCTGTTTTCCAAGGCGACTGCACCATTTCACATTCTCACCTGGAGAGCAGAGGGTTTAAGTTCCCCCCCACCCTTGCTAATGCTGGTTATCACTGT